AGGCTTCTAGTATTCTAGTCCCTGGGGCACGCAACTCCTTAGAACGACCCTCAACCAAGGACCCTCAAGCCACACAACCTCAATCCTCAATTCTCAACTTTGGTCTGTCAGGAGCCCCTTTTAAGTTTCCCTTGTACGCAGGCTCCCTACTTCGAGAGGCTTGTAAAGCCGCTGGGACGAGAGCTTGAGACCTTCTGGGTTGAGGTTTTGGGGTTCACGGTTTGGGATTCAGGGTTTAGGATTTCAGACCTTGAGAGCTTTTGGGTTGCGGTTTTGGGGTTTATACGGTGTGGGATTGAGGGTTTAGGGTTTCAGGGTTCACGGCGAAAGAGGGCGTGCGGCTTCCAGGTTGAAGGTGCATTTTTTGTTTGTTTGTTTGTTTTGTGTTTGGGTGTGCGACATCAAGGCTACTTTGGGTCTCGCGGCCACCTGGGTAGTTTAAACTCGATAGTGCAGGCGCCCGAATGACTGCCAATTTGATTTCCTTGAGGTTGCTTCTAATATACTAGAGTTGCTAGATTTACTATACCTCAAGGCCTCAAGGCTCATTCTGACTATTTAGGCTCCTGCAATAGCACTTGCTTCCCTTCTGCATGCATCGACCCGTGAATCTGAGACCTCGGGACTACTCTCCTCAAATGGTTCCCACACGTCTCAAAGGAGCCAGTGTTCTCGTCCGGCCATGTCATGAATGTAGTATAGGGGCTTAATACTTGGAATACGGTTTTGCGGCATATTTTACTGGTCATAATGAGGACCTCCCCCCAAAAAATGGTATTGGTAGTCATTGGACCCCTATATTTGTGTTTCATGCTGACCGATCGCAGAACCGCGTAACCAAGATCTCTTCTTGCAGAGTCCGAGTCGCAAGCCCTCAGGTCCCCATGACCCTGTTTTGAAGCCCCCGAAATCTCTCCAACCTCCCCCCCCCGGCCGCCATTTTCCATACTTGTAGGTCCTCTTGTCCTGTGAGTAGACCCTCGACCCTGAAAGCCACGCAGCCCCAAAATCCTAAGCCCCAAAAAACACCCTATCAGCGGCTATACGCTCCTTGATCCTTCGTATGTACTTCGCCGGAAGTGCAAGACACCCAGGCGTGGCTGGATGTTGACTCGCCAGGCGAGCAAGTTTCAGAGTTTTGCCGGAGTTGCGGCAACCCACGGGGTTTTAGGGTTTGAGGGTTTCAGGGTTCAGGGCAGGGTCTAGGTTTGAGTCTTGCGATAGGGGTAGAGCTTGGGCATGAGAGGGCTGGTGTTGGTACCTGCACCTGGGTGTGCAGGGTTCGGGGTTCAGAGGGTAGCTGCATAGCCTTCGGCAGAGGTTCTTAAGCACAGACGTCAAACCGAGATCAGCCAGTTTCCGTAAGTCTGTGGAAGGGGAAGGGCCTTATCCTACCAAAACCTACTTTTTGTAGGATCCCGATAAATCCATATTAGGATTTGTAGGACGGACCTACAAAAAAGTAGGATGCGGCGGAAAGTATAAACCTTCCAACCCCCAAGCTTAAGGCTCCGGGCCCTTCTGAAATACGGCCCCTTAAGCTGCATCCCGGAATAAGCTTGGCGTGTCTCGAAGTTAATTTTCAAGTCGGGAGCTGTTTTGGGGCAACTTGTACTTGGACGGCTTTGGGTCGCGAGGCTTGCGTTGAGGTCTTTGACATGCTCACATCCGCAAAGCTGTTGCTCCAGCTTGCAAAAGCAGTAGTACAGTAGGTTTTGCGGAGGGTCGGCATGCGAGAAGAGAGATGATGTGCACGAGGTGGCGATGCAGAAATCCGTGGCAGCGATTCGGAGCCATTCTTACGGAAGCCTGGAAGCCGACAGTTATTTTCGCTGGGCATCGCCGGATTTGCAACGCGCCCCTGTGGTGGAAGAAGGGTCGACCCCGCTCTGTCCACCAGAGCTATGCAGAGGTCGAGCTGTTGTCCCAGCTTGCGGAGCTTCTGATGCCGGGGAAGCCTATCGGAGAGCTGTTCCGGGACTTCCCGGTGGAGCCCTCAGAAAAGTGGGGTGCACGCTGGCTTTGTCCGGACATTACAGCATATGGGGTGCTGAAAGACGAAAAAGCGGCTTTGTTCATCGAGTACGACGGGTACTATCGGCATTATGATCCGCACGGGCACCAAGCAGACGAGCGCAAGACACACGCCCTGCTGGAGTATGCGCCCGCAGGCTCGCACGTTCTGCGGATAGGGCATGTGCACCGGAACTTCAACATGGAAAACTCTATACAAGTCGTTGTGAAGGTGTGGCGTGCAGGTCACAAACCGTCATTAAGCCACGTCTTATGCCAAACTGTGGGGCACCTTCTCCATGACCACGAAAATCTTTTGCGAACAGATTTTTGCCAGCGGCTCCTATCAGTGAGCAGAGCAGAGATGGAGCCAAGCTTTTCAGAGGCAGGCAGATTTGCAAGTCAGGCCATGCTCACAAGGAGCTCCGAGCAAAACAAGGCCAGCATGCTCCGGTTTATGGAAGAAGAGCTCGAGGTGTCAACGGCCGCGATTGATGCCCTGGCAAGCAAGTTTCCAAGACTTTGGGGCACCAGCATTGAAGCCAATCTGAAGCCCACAGTGGCATGGCTCCAAGAAGTTGGTCTGAGCAGGCAGCAGGTTGCGAAAGTCGTTGCTGTTTGTCCGCAAGTCCTGGGCTACAGCATTGAAGCTAATCTGAAACCCACAGTGGCATGGCTCGAAGAAGTTGGTCTGAGCAGGAAGCAGGTTGCTAAAGCCGTTGCTGCTTGTCCGCAAGTCCTGGGCCTGAGCATTGAAGCCAATCTGAAACCCACAGTGGCATGGCTCGAAGAAGTTGGTCTGAGCAGGACGCAGGTTGCAAAAGTCGTTGCTGTTCGTCCGCAAGTCCTGGGCCTGAGCATTGAGACCAATCTGAAACCCAAAGTGACATGGCTTCAAGACATTGGTCTCAGGTGGGACCAGGTGCCCAAAGTCGTGGGTGCATTTCCGAACGTTCTGTGCTACAGCATTGAAGCCAATCTGAAACCTACAGTGGCATGGATCGAAGATGTTGGTCTGAGCAGGAAGCAGATTGCCAAAGCCGTTGCCGGTTTCCCAAGACTTCTGAGTTACAGCATCGATGGAAACCTCTACCCGAAATTGGTTCTCCTGCAAACACTGTTTTCCGATGGAGAGATCTGTAAATTGATTGCTTATCATCCGCCGATGATGGGCTATAGCTATGCTCGCCTGAATCATCGTTTGGGCATCCTGCAACAGCACGATTGCTTGTTGAAGGTTGCCAAGACAATCTCGTTGACAGATGAGCGGTTTGCACGTCGTTTCCCGGTGTGAGTCGCGAACTAGACTTCAAAGACCCCCATAGATGCAGCCTATAGATATATTCATCGTCTGTAATTGCATGGGCTCCTGCGGACTGCAGTGGAATGGGTTTTGAGGATGCCGGTTGAGCATCAGGAGATTTACTGGATCGTTCAGCTGCTGATGCGGCTGTACCGACTCGGGTGCGTTCGTTGTGCGAAATCGCAGGAGTCCTGCATATGCGAATTTAGACCATCGTGCAACCTTGTTGGTCATTGCTTCTGTAATTAAGCTTATCCATTTCCGTCATGTAGGTGTTGCGACAATGGGGTTCCACTACAAACATATGTATGTATGTATGTATGTATGTATCTATGTACAGTATGTATGTATGTATGTATGTATGTATGTATGTATGTAACTATATGCACGTATGCTTGCATGCATGCACGTATGTATACATGGCTGGCCGGCTCGGCAGGCCACCGGGCGGGCGGGATGGATGGATGGATGCATGCATGCATGGATGAATGTGTGGATGTAAGGGTTCCTGTCTGGATGCGTGGCAGCAGACCTTGGGCGCTTAGCTTGCGTCAGCCGTGTGCATCTACCTTCGTACCCTTGTTGGGCTCGTAACCCGACCATGCAGGAACTGCGCCGGGACGTCGAGTTGTTGCTGGGTGGCTCGTACGAGGCTGATGGAGAAGGGGGCAGCCTGCTGATCTCGAACTGACTAGTTACAGAGCCCAATTTTCAGGCTTCGATTTTTTGGAAAGAAGGATTGGGGTATCCGGTTTTGTGTTGTTCTGAGTGAGACTTCTTCTCACATCATGTCTGTATTAGGCGAACCCAAACTGAGGAAGGACTTTGCACCCTCAATCCCAGCTACCCGCTCCTGCTGCAGCCTTTGTGCCGGACAGAAAGCCTATACACTCGGCAGGACGGCATCTGTTCAGTCCGACTAGAAAATCCTAGTAGGCTACTTTTCAGTGGATCAGAGAGCTCGGGTACCGAACTATAGCTACACGAGTAGCTGTACACTTATGCCGACTTCCTGAATCTCTTGGTCCTCTTGATAAAGTGTAGCTCTTCGGATCTATATGGTTCGCTTCGCTGGTGTTGTTTGCAATGGAGCATTTGTGGACCCAAACCCGTCGCTGAGCTCGTATCCTAACCTAAAGCCTCACCTTACCGTCTTAGCCAAAAATGGCCCAATCATCCTGCATACCTCGATCCTGTTTCAGTTGGACAGCGCAGGCGTTCATGGCGCGATAGTGGCGTGACCTGCAGGGCCGGTGCGCAGCTGGGATTGTTCCTACAGTAGTTGTGCACTTACCCGAAATCCCAATGCCCTAAAACCTAATAGTAGAGTTGGGAACCTTTAACCTTTTTTGGGTAGTATGGTCCTTATATAACCCCTACAAAGCCAAAAAGGTTAACCTTCAGTTCCCCATGATACCCGACAAGTAGGAAAAGCGAGGAGTCGAATGTGAGCACCGAAAGCCTTGAAGCCTAGCATTAACCCTCAGGCCTTGCCAGCCAAGACTGCAAAGAATCCCAGCTGACACTGTTTTTGCTCAAGTAGCTGGGACGTAGAGCTCTCCGTGGTGCTCTAGGAGGTTTAGGGCTTACAAGGCCCGAAACAAATTACATCTATTAGGTATTGCAAACGTATGTATACCTACATTTCCGGGATTTCCTGGCTGTCAGAGGTGTTCGCAGCTAATTACAGACTTGCAATTGCCCTCTTCAGTGGCTCAAAAGCGATAGCCAGAGGGTGGCGCCAAAAGGAAGCCGGCGCTGCTACTTGCGGACGATTGCCGCTGAGCAGTCGCAACCAAACATGTTGCAGCTCCTTTGGCAAAAGAAGGCTGGGGTCCCTGACGACGGATGCGCTATCCAAGCCGTCCCTGTACAGTCGCCACGCTTCTTCCCAGCAACTGTCCAGTGAGTACAACGGCTTGTCTCGGGTCACGTCATCTCCGGCCGTCTCGCGGATGGCCTCGCCCCAGTCGAAGTCTTGCATCCTTTCTTTGAAAGTCGCAAGGGTAGGCATGTCCTTGAGCACTTGTTGGCCATCGTCGTAGATAACCTCGTCTTCAAGGAGTGTTCGGGCAGCTACAATCCAGGCTTGGTATTGCTGCGAGGTCCATGGGCGGATCGCCTCGTCTGACTGCAGCATCTCGATCTCGGTGATGAGGAACTGCATCACCGCCTGGAGCTCTGCCGGGTAGAGGTGGTGCTCGGCCCTGATCTTGTCGAGAGCCTGGTAGCACGCACGGGGCTCAGTGGGGGAGTCAGCGTCGAAGAAGAAGTCGCAGAGAGCTCGGTGAAAACCTTGCTGCCAGCTGGTCCACTCGTGTGCATCCACGTGGATGCTCTGCTTTGTCATCTGGCTTGGTGGAGCCAGAGTGAATCCCTCGATCTCCTTTTGCCGACGCTTTTTGCTGCCGTAGCCCGGGGCAGCTTCGGATTTCTTCTGTCCAAAGGTAGGCCAGCGCTTGGCACAGTGGGAAGAAGCGCGTGCATGGTCTTCAAGCCTTCCCTCTGTCCAGAACTGCTTCTGGCAGACCAAGCAGACAGTCCCAGAGATGAAGTAGCGATACTCCGCGCAGCGACCGTGAACTTTGAAGAGGTGGACGCCTAAAGCGGCCTTGCTGCGGAAGGACTTTCTGCAGGATCGGCAAGGCCAAGCAGCAGGCCCTGTTTGGCTGGGATTCGCCACAGTCTTAAACAGGGTCCACAAGCAGAGCTGGCTGGTCATCTCCTCCTGGTACGCGATGAAGTCCTTCGCAAGCTGCTTGTTGGTGCGTCTCTTGATCCTTTGCGGCGCGTCTCTGAGTAGCTTCCACCACTGTGGCCAGGCTTCTTCGCAAGGGCTAGGCCAATTGGCCTCATCTCCATGGACCAACCATGCGATGTCCTGTCGCAGTTGCCCAATCCAGGAGCCTTCGTCTTGTAAAATGGCCCAAAGCTTTGCAGGTCCTGCTTTTGCCATGGAAACCAGTAAGGACAGACGACTCCGTCTGGCATAAAAGGACAGTGGCCAGATCCCCGTCACTCAGTGCACGAGTGGGGCCGGGATGCGGTAGAAGTCGGGACCAGATACCTCTCTGCACAGCAGACGCCGTACCAGACGCGAGAAGCCATCAGCCAATGCCGTCCAGTTCTTGCTGTCGACCTGCCACAGCGCGAGGTTGAAGAAAGTTGACAGCACTGTTGACTGGAAGACCGCACTGCGAGTGCGGAGCGTCAAATCCCTGTTCTGCAGCAAGAGAGACTTGGCCGCTTCATATGAGAAGCCGCCAGGCCCAATCGGTGTCGGACCTCTTGTCCCAAATCCATGCGGCCATCAATGACGCCGCCAAGATGACGGTAGTAAGGGACAATGTCAATGCTCAGCTGCAGATCCTCTAGGAAGAGCGCTGCTTTGCCCGAGGAGAAGAAGCGGCGACGAGCCCGGACAGCTCCTTTGCCCCGAAGCTGGATGACCAAGCTCGTCTTGTGTCGTTTCAGACTGACCTCCATTCCGTAGGATTGAAAGAGCCCGATGACGAGAGAGCTGACTCGGCTCGTCTTCACCAGTAGTGTTTCCGGCTCGCCGGACTCCAGCGGGAAGGCCGAGTCATCTGCCCATGTAGTGTCCCAAGAAGGCTCCTCGAAGCCTTGGCCCCCCGTTGCGTAGATGCCGGACTCCTGGTCGTAGGGTAGTCTGAAAAGGAGGCCCTCAGCATCCATGCATTCGTGGACCTTGTACAAGACCTTTGCATAAATAAATGCAAAGATGGTGTCAGCCCAGGCTTCGCCTGGGCGGGACCCAGCGAAGGCCTGTCCGATCTCATCGCCCTGGGAGTACCGGGTGATAAACCAGGTCCGAAAATGCATGTCGCGTACTGCTTGTCTGATGGGAGGTGGGACGTCAAAGGCTTCCAACATACCACCCTGTTGGATAATGGTGCGAAGCTCCTCCACATCGTCCTCACTGAGCTGAAAGCGACGAAACAACCAGACCAGCGTGGAGTCTTGGGTGATAACCCCAGTGGCGACCTCTCTGATCACCCGGTAGTATGCGCTTTTTGTGTCCACGAAAAGCGCCGCCGCGCTGCGTCCAAGCCGGCGACACCGTCTGAAATGCGAGGCCACATACAAACTGGGGAAAAGAACTGGGGCTGAGTCTCTCGTTCCGAAGTGTAGCGGGTGAAGTGAACACTGTACCTCGCCACGGATCTTGGTCCGGAGGGATTTGTGCAGCGCTTTTCCCAAGTGGCTGCTCAGGAAGATACTGCGGTGGCTCTCCACCTGGCTTTGCATGCCTGATCTCTTGAACAATTCAAAGAGGACGCCTCCTCTCCACTGAATCGGCTGGCGAAAGGTGAGAAGGGATTTGAGATACAGGGGATACGTGATCTGCGACATACCTGTCGGGCATGCAGCGAGCAAATCGCTCGGAAGACCATCTAATCCGCCAGCTTTCCCAGGCTTGACTCGCCGCATCAGGCTCTCAAAGTCCGTGAGTGACGGGAGCCATTCGCACTTCCATGTGATCTCCGATTGCTCCATTCTCTGGTCGTCTTTCAGAAAATCACTTGTCTTTCGAATGACACTTTTTTCTTGCCGTCCGAAGTGCAGGAGCCAAATCTGATCACGGTCCTGTCTGGTCCGGGCCAGCTCGCCTGAGTCCGGGTGCAGCAAGGCCGGAAGAGGGCGGACCACAGGCCGCGTCTTTTGCCCTCCAAGTCCTGCGCGCTTGGCTCGCTGTAGGACCTCAGAGACCCCCTGCGGTCCTTCGCGAACAATGGACCCCAGCATCTCGTTCTTGCCCTTGGCGATCAAGTTCTTGATTTTCTTGGTAACGAGCTTGATCGCGACCGCAATGGCCTCATAGAGGATAGCGTGCTTTTGTAGGCCCTCCTGGTTGGTCAGGGGGACTCCTTTCTTCCAGCATCGGAAGGCAGTCGCCGCAAAGCTGCCCCACAGCTGTCTCCTTGAAAGGGTTTTGCGGCGCAGGCTGAGCTTAGCATCCCGCAGTGTCCACGCCTCATCGGGGATGAAAGAAGAACGTCTTGAGGTTGGGGGCTTCGGGAACCACCAGCCAAGGGCGTCCTGTAGGTATTCCTGAAGTCGCTGGCAGTGGTCATCAGGATGGACATTCCAGGCCGGTTGTGGGAAGCTGTCGCAGATATACTGCAGTTGACGTCGTCCTTGCTCTGTTCGCATGGCCTCAGTGTCATAGCGCGGAAGCTGGAGTCGAGCTTCAAGGCTGCTTTGGAGTGCTTCTCCTTCAAACTCCAAGACCACCAATTTGTGATCTTCATTGGCACTACCATTGTCAAAGCTGTGCACGGAATCACTGACCAAGGAATGCACCTCGGCTTTCCCTCCCAATAGCAGATAATCGATCCTGCTTTGCTGGCCGTTAGGATGGGTATAAGTCGCTGGGTCGCCTTTGTGGAGGGACTCGTAGGTGGCTGGGGCCCAAAGGCCATAGTCGGCCATGACATTGGCCATCAACCATCCAGTGTGGTCGGGAGGGTCGCATGTCAGGGAGCCTGTGACACACTGGTAGTTTGTGGGCAAACGTCCATTCAGATCGACCCCAAACACAACGACTTGGGCTTGTCTGCATCTGGCCAGAGTGAGCTTGAGGTCGTTGAGGAAGGCGTCTCTCTCATCAACTCGTCCAGCATGCGGGCAATGCCCTGCCAGAACTGCGATTTTTATCCCTGACTCCACAATAATCTGAATAGCCAGGAGCCGGGGTCCTTCGAAGAGGAGCTCGATGTTGGCTTCGTCGACAACAACTGGCTTGCCGTTGAATTTGATGGCTCCCTTCTGTCTGTGCAGCCAGATGGCTGTACCCCAATGGCCCTGAGATTCAGAGGAGAGTCGGAGATAGTGGGGTCCACGGCATAGACCGGATGCTCCTTTGGTCTCTTGGAGCATCGCAATCTGCAGGCCTTCTGCATGGAACTGATCCTCGATGTACCGATGAAGCCCCCCGATGCCTTGGATATTCGCCGATCCAACCTTGCAGGAAAAGGGCACCGGTATACTGGTCGAGCCTGGGACTCCAGGCTTGTGTGTGGGGATCAGCTGCGAGGGCTCGAGCTGGAACGCGTTGAACTCCTCCTCGCCCCTTCAATGCTCCGGTCTTGAGTGCAGATGCAGCCGTTGCCAACCACGCGAGGGAGTTGGCCTGGAAAGCTTGGATCACCTCGATAGAGGGCCCTGGGAGGTAGTGATCGCCTTTGGCAGCGGCCTTGGCCAGCGCATCCGCCATTTCGTTCCACGGGTCCCCGCTGTGGCCTTTGACGTGGCCATATTCAATCCATGTCTGTGGGAGCTCTTTAAGGAAGAGCTCGAACTGGTGGGTGCGCTCCGCAAAGGAATTAGGATTCCACCGGCCTGAGGCAGACCCGCCTGCAGCATTGCAGTCGAAGAGGATGTGGTACTTGGCAGTGGGGAGCAGTGATCGTGCCTGGGCAATCCACAACAAAGCGGCAGCTATTGCTACCTGTTCGGCGGCTAAAGCCGGTACATTGGGAACATTCCAAGGGCATAGATCATTACCTTGAAGTTGTTCCCCAATCGCACCAAAGAGTGCCATGAAGGCGCCGACCTTGAGCAGGATGAGGATTCCGTATCCGCTGCGGCCATGCTGGTCAGCGGACCCATCGGTGTACAAGTAGACTTCGGAGTCTTCTTGCCCTACTCGAGAAATCAGGTCACTCCAGTGGACAAGCTCTCGAAGGGCATTCTGCGTATTCTTCTGCAACTTGAGGCCTTGCCAAGAAAACTGCAGCCAGGTAGGCAGCCACGGTCGCATCATGGTAGCGAGCTGTTGTGGTGTATGAGGTAGCTGCAAGTGGTTGACAGTCAGGTCGAAGTGTGGAGGCGGTACCGCGTCCGCGAGGGAGACGATCTTGGCACCCTTTTGGCCGTGGCCCACATCCTCCCCGGGGGCCGGTGGCATGGGTCCGGCGCAGCCATGTCCTCGTGGAGCCTCAGCAGAACGTCGGCTGGGCGAACGGCTGCGGTTCACCGGCTGAGGTGGAGGTGGTCCTCGAGGTCTGCCGTCCGATGGGGGTGAAGCAGAGATGTCACTCGAGTTGGGCAGGTTGTCGTTGTAGGAGCTGTCGGAGTCCTCCGATCCGTCCTCATCGTCACCGTCGCTGTCCTCGTCAGCCGGAGACGGGGTGAGGTCAGCAGTCTCCTTCAAGAAGAAGTTGAGGGTTTCCCCTGGCTGAACTCGAAGAAGATCTCGTTGTGCAGTGAGCTCCCCCCCCTCGACGATCATGGTCCAGCCTTCGATGCTGGGTGCCGGGATGCTCTCTAAATACTCGGAGGAGTTGAAGAGGGGGCCTGGTAGCAGGAGCCACTGCGGGAACATGCCCAAACCTCGCAAGTCGACAAAGATTACGATGGCGTCCGGATCGTCTACAGGCGTGGAGCGCGGGCCAGGGATCATCGCAATCTGTTTAGCGATGCGGCGACCTGCATGTGTGAGGTCGTCCAGTGGCTGCGCCGGCTCCACGATCCAACTTTGTCCTGGCTGAAATCCCATGAGTAGATCAGCCAGATCATTTCGGCGCTGATCTGCATCTGGGAGGTCCTCGAAGACGAGCTGGTCCTCGGGAGTTTGATAGACAACATGCGAGCCCCGGCTAAGGCCCGGCGGATGCTGTCTGGGATCCCATCTCGAGGGGTCCGTGAGTCGGTCCGACAAAGAGTCCTCCCATTCACAAAGTTCCCCGGCAAAAACAGTTTTGATGATGCCTCCCTGGATAGCATCAACAGAGTCGTTCGGCTGCAATGCCGTTCGGTTCCCGAAGAGGTAGATGTCGATGTCAGCCGCATCTTCCGGGAGTTGCCTTTCAAGAGATCTCTGCGATACAGGTCCGGTGTGATAGAAGGCGAAGAGCTCGCCCCCGATTCCCCGATTGTCCATCAACATGGCGAACTTGCCATCGGCAGGAATCCATGATGGGATAAGTATACAGCTGCCGAAATGCGACCCCAGTTGCGGGATCGTCGGGACTGCAGTCTCCGCATATGTGGGCATACTTTGACAGGTGGAAACGACCGCATCGCAGACTCGCTGAGAGGTCAAGGGAAAACCCATACCAATGTCCACGGTTTCCTGGCCAAAGTGCGGTGATGTGGTCCACACCGTAATGTGGACAGCTCTTCGATCTTCATCAGACATAGCCACATCACCCTCGTGCTCTGTAGGATTCGGATCAGCTGGTGGTGGAGGCATGTCTCCTGCTTCGGTTTCTAGCAGGGGCGACCTATCCACATCAGCTCGAAGAAGTTGTTCTCGGATAGTTAGCTGTCCGGAAATCCACAGCTCCAGATCTGTTTGGCGAGGGACTGTCGGAGGAAGTAGAGGTCCTGCTCGTGGACCTCGTCCAGAGAGGCCAGGCCCGGTTGTCGGGACCGCTTGCCCAACAGTGACAACCGAAAACGCCAAAAGCATCCGAAGTGGGCAACTTTTCGAGAGGTGGGGGAGCTTCCTGCATGTGGGCGGACCTTGGCTTCCTGTGGAGAGGATAAAAGCAAGTAGGGCTCCCATCTGTGCCGCATAGAAGCTGTGCAGGAGGCCCTGGGCATGTTCCTGTGCAAAACTGCCAAGTTGGATCAGCTTGGCACTGACGTAGTCAAGGAGGTCGCGGACCGCGTCGAAAAGGTCGTAGTAGCGCCATGTTTGTTCGCCACTGTCAGGGCGACCTTCCTCCTGGCCATTTGTCAGGGTCGCTCGCAGAACATCTCTCTCTCCAATGAGGTCGTGGCCTCCCGTAGGGCCGTGCCTCCTTGCAGGCTGAAGCATGACGCTCAGCCTTCGTTGTTGTAAGGCAATGTCCAGCAACCCGCTGGGAAGAGCCGATTCCATCACCTGTGGACTCAAAAGAAGTCGTAGTCCAGCAGGCCTTTCATGTGAAACTGTAAGGCGTGCATCACCGGTAGCGTCTTGTAAGCCAAGAGCACCAACAAGTAGAGCACCGCCATGGAAGAGGGGGGAGTTCCTGGACAAGCCGAAAAAGCCAGTCTCCCTGAAAGAAATCATGATCGCTCCTGTTACCGGCAGTCGCCGCCCCAGCTGCGATGCCGCACTGTCCTGACAGCAAGGCGACCCAAGTCTCACCCCACCAAGCCCGAGGTGTTGTCCTCCGGCTCCGTCTCCAAGTCGCCGATCGCCTGGTCCTCGTCTGAGTCCATGAGGGTTTCTACTTCCATTCCTTCCTTGCGCTTTGCCTCCAATTTCTGCGCGAGTGCGGTTCCACTGACTCGGGGTTTCGATGGGCCACGCCCCAGTTGCTTCACCGGAATACGTGCCCCCGGCCGCGAACGTGTCCTGGAGATGCCTTCCGGGATCGGTGCTGCCGAAGTGGTAGAAGGTGACGTAGGAAAAGGAGTTCCCTTGGAAGCTGCCCCATCGAAACTGTAGAGATCGCCCGTGGTTGCCGGTTTGGCTTCCGTCGGTGCGCTTGTCTTCGGGTCCTGCGGGGTTCGTGGCTCTCTGCCGTGTGTCCTGCGAGGCGGGGTGTGGAGTGAGGCCTCGCCGTTCCGCCTGCCCGCAAGTGCAGATAGCAACTGTCGTCGTTGGGCTTCTTGGTCGCCACCACCATTCAGGACCTCTGAGAGCAGATCCGCCAGCCCCGGCTTGGGTCGCTGCTCCGGTGACTTCAGCAACTGATCCAACTCCTCCAAAGCAGCGGTGTTGTCGGGGACTTCCACACGCTGTTTCACCATCGACTGGGGTTCCGCGATGGCCAGTTGGAGTCCGGCCAGAGCTTCCTCTTGAGTCTGCTCGGCTTCCTGAAGGTCCTGGCTCAGCTGCTCCATCCGTTCTCGAAAACGGTTCTTCTCCTTCACGAAGGTCTGCTGCAGCTCCTGCTTGAAAGTCGCCCATTGCGCCTGCAGTGCTCGGCGCTCTTCTTCGATCTTTCTCGATCGTCCCTCGGACTTCCGCAGGCTGTTGAGCAACTTCTGGACACCTCTGGCCAACTGGCCTGTAGTGATCGCTTCCTCGTCGATCTCCATCTGCTCCCTGGCACGCTCCGGTGCTCTGGAGCTGGCACCGCTCGCTGCCGGCATCATGTCGAACGAGGGAAAGGACACTTTCCGAGTGTCCGCCGTGGTCTCTTTGGGGCCCGGGTAACAGTTCTTGGAGGCATCCTTGGTCTTCCCTTTGCCCTTCTGCTGGTGCCATCCGCCATATTGAGATGTAGAAGATGACCGCCAAGCTTGCCATTCCGCATCGGGCCATTTTTTGCCCATGGGCTTCAAGCCACGGCAATCCCGAACTTGTTGTAGTTCTCGGTATCGCGGGGCACTATGGTGCCTGGTGAGGGCAAGGAGATCCCTGAACCAGGGTCGGACACCGCGTGTCCTAAGGGTATGCACCCTTGACCTGAGCTTGGCTCTTCTCGCCCTGGCACGGCGATGCCAAGACGGCGAGGTTGCTATGGCTCAGAAGGTGCCGTGGCACCGTTGGGGTTTCCAGGCTATGCAGGCCTGCTGTGCGGCCGCTCGATCCCAAACCCTGTATACCTACATATATATATATATACACACATAGATCTAAACACATGTTGTTATATGTCTATATGTAGCGAGATTGAGATAGATTTAAAAGATAGGTAGATACACAGGTAGATATGTGTACATGCTTATGTGGATATAAACCTCTAAACATATAGATGTATGCATGTGTGGAAAGCAGAAAAGGGGCAAACAACGTGGAGGATTGGTGAGCTTGAGGCAGAGTTCAGTGTCATGCCAGTGTAGTCCGGTTCGAGTGTCGGGGGTAGTGGGGATAACATGGGGGCTTCAATAATTAGAGGAGAGCTTTCGGTCGGGCCCACTGTACGAAAATAATGAGGAACCACCAAAAAAGTATAGGTAATTGTAAAGGCCCTTAATTACAATACATCCGGTGAACCAAAGCCATGTCTCAGACCAGCTCCATGTTGTGGACCTTGCCTGAATCCTGAAGCATTGAGACGGAGTTTCTGACGGTAGTTCACATTAACGAAGGAGCCCCAATCCTACACTCTTGCGAAGTATGATTCCCAAGTTTTTAAGTGTATAGGTCCGGAAAGCCAACTCAGATAAGTTTCTCAGTCAGGCCAGTGTTCTGGCTTAAGCTTTGGGGCCTCATGTGCCGCTCTACGACCTGGTGTAGTGTTTGTATGCGAGCGTCATGCGACAGACCGAAAGACTCGTAGAGGCGTGGCTGTGACAGGGTGGGAGCATCTCAGAGCATTTTTTGGGTCGGTCTCGGGGTTTCAGGTTTGTAGGTTTAGGGTTTAGGGTGGGTTTTTGGCATTTAGGATTTTATTGGAGTTTGGGAACGGTTTCCCTAAAGCCTATCAGCCGTACGATAGGATAGTCTTGGGGAATGTCTTGAGATCCTCCCAGTTTGTGTCACACCGCCGCAGGCACAGTCCAGGCGCAAAACAGATCAGGGCAACGATCTGGGTTTCTAGGAGTATTTGGAGCGTCGTTATTTTATAGACTTAGATCCGTTTAGGCCTTCTTCCTCTGTGACCCGACACTCCAAGTGGGCTGCGGAACGTGAAGGTTCAGTGCTGAATGTTTCATATGTGGAGAGCAAGTATTGCTCGGTTATCGTTAGCTCAGGCTGCTCCCTAACCTTTCGCAACACTGGCTTGCGACGGTTCAGAGGTTGCAAGATTGAACAGAGGCCTGGACGCTTCAGGATTCAGGGTTTAGGGTCGTGTTCTGGCAGCCACCCGTCGGTCCTCAAGTAATACATAAGTCGGAATAATTACAGTACTCGAACACATATAGTTACACACTACCGCCTCCCCAACAGCCCTCTATCATTATATCTTAACATACCCCAAGACCTTATTCTCATGATCAAGGTCCAAATGTTCTAGGACACTCTTTATAGGAGCCCTTCATATCAAACTACCGTCTTGCGATGGCCAAGGACCCTTTCTTGCGATACTTGTCCCCCCAGGGTCTAACCACCCGTCCGTCCTAGGGTCTAGGGTCTGGGACTTCCTACTTGGTACGTTTGGACAGACGTCTATTTTGGGGGTCCCGGCCCCAGCCCTGAACCCTAAACCCCGAAACCCAATCTTGAATAAGCCTAGGCACTAAACTTAAACCCTAAACTCTAAACCCTAAAACCCTAAACCCTACACCCTAAACTCTAGCCTTGGTATAGTATGCATTGTATTTCCTGTGTTGGGTTCACCTAGTAGGATCCTAAACTGGAGTTGGGTTAAACCAACAAGGAACTGCAATGGATAGTACAGGTACATACAAGTTCCTTTCGACCCAGAGCCCGGTAAGCATAGCCGAGCTGAACTTTACGTGAAGGGTGAGGACGTTACAGGCAGGGTTTTTGGGTCTTGGGTGTAGGGCTTATACCAGGGTTTACTACTATGTCGATTGCAAGATTTAGGGCTTATAGGCTCTGTAATTTTAAGCTCTTCGAGTCGTCCGCCTTGGCCCGGCTGTACTTGACCCAGTACCCCTTAATTAAGGAACACACCTTAACTTATAAATCTTATAAATCATAAAATGAAGCCCCTAAGTATAGTTTAAGGTAGGATCCTTAATTAAGGGGTATTGGGGTCTCTGAGTTCCCCAAGATTTCTGAGGCGCCCGAAAGGGCATGACGACGCTCTGCGGCCGCCTGTTGGATCACCCGCTGCTCATGGACACAACGCTCAGGCCGGAAAGTCTTCGTTGTCGAGCTCAGGGTTTAAGGGGCCAAGCACCGCCTTATTGGAGGACTTTGGGCCGATTTTGTGTAGCAAAAAAGCCAGAAATGACGGCTAATTGGACCCTTACGCTTAGCTTTCAGGATTTCTTGTGGAGCCCAAACCTACTCAAACCAGCCGTGGGAGAAGAGACGCCCTCGTCTTTCTCCAAGGGAGACACCTTTGGATGACCCGTTTTGTTCTGGCAGCCACTGCACGGGATGTCAATCTCCACGGCTTGAAGCCGAAATAGTGCTGCACCCCGCAAGCTCTGTCGGAACTACCTGAGGTTTCGGGTTTATAAAAGTTTATGGCTTAAACTTTAGGCCCTCCCGAAGCCTCCCTAAGCCTCCCTGCTGTTTCGGAAGCCCTAGAGCCAGAGTCGGGCACCTCGAAAAATGCTCGAACTTCGCCCCCCCCTCCCCCCAAATCCTAAAGTCCTGAACCTAAAATCGTTGAGACATAATTAATCCTAAAAGCCCAGAACCTTCAACCCTTAACCCCAATGCAGCTATCAGTACGGCCTCCCTTGCTGGTGACACGGCGCTACATGCCGCTGCAAAGTCTGGCTGGGTGCTGCTGGCGATGTTTGGCACGATTAGGGATTAGGGTTTAGGGTTGAAGGACGCCTCCCGAAATTCGGAACCCATCTGTATGGTTTAAATGATCGTTTGCCATTTTAGGTGCCCCTTGCATGCCGTGACTTGAGAAAGGGATCCTAATTTTGCGAACTGCGCACGATCTACTTGCAGGCAGGTGGATTTAACATGTTCTTTATGAGAAGCTCTTGTTTGCAGAAATCAGAGCAGCATCCCGTTACCCAAGCCCGAAATGTTTCAGTCAGCCTAGGGTAGTTTAAGGCAACCAACAAAACACACATGAACCCTGCACCAACTCAACGGGGAAGGTTTATGTCCTTGAGGATTCGGATTCGGATGTGCCTAGAGTTTAGGAAGAGATGTTGTTGCCAGCCGTCGACGACGCTGGCCATTTTGGATCATCCACGAAGCCGGTGCCATGGCGGCAGAGGGTCAACGTCGGTTTGGAGGTTTGGGGTCTAGTAAAATTACAGGACGAAAGCGCGAGATTAATTAAGGGTTTGGAGGCGAGGGCAGTATCGGCACAGTGTTCAGGTCGTGGGTTTTCTGCTCTGCGCGAAATACCTGATTGGTCAGCCTGCCAAGACTGGTCAAAAATTATGTATTCGGCCTCGAGCGATAACTGTTGTTGAACCTTCGAGCTCCGCCATCTGCCAAGTGCTCGTTTCTCGGTGCCCAGCTCTTCTTTCTCAAGAGGGAGCGAGAGAGGGAGAGGGCCTCTGCTGTCGTCAAGAGCCACTGCAGACCGGCCACACCAGTGGCTGTGCGAGGATGCACAGGGAGCCGGGTGGAAAAGGGCCTTCCTTTTCACAGCCTGCCAGAAGCAGACGAGAGAGAGAGAGAGAGAGAGAGAGAGAGAGAGAGATCCTATGCAGGCTCAGCAATCAAGAACCTGCCCCTTAGGCGGGCTTGAAGGGTACCCTTCAGATGCTGCAGTTGGATTGTATAGTCTTGCCTCATCAAAAACTCATCCCAGGGCCTCTTGAACAAATGTCGAGTATTAAGGGTACCTATCACAACAGGAGGAAGTGATTATCTATCGAATTTCGTTTACAGGGGTGATATCAGAATGTACTGTGTGGGTTCTCGGTGATGTTGGGTGCCGTCTACAAAACCCATGGGGCTTCAGCTAGGTCTAGGTTGCTGCTGGTATTGAGAGTGGAGGCAGTAGGGTTGGAGACTATTCCCTGCCCCACATGGGTGGTTGTCAAAAATATTGCACCTTTGGGTACGTAATATAATACGGCACCTAATATTCAGGGTACCCAAAAAGGGACCTTAATTTTGACAACCACCCACATTCGAGGCCCCTACAGCCTGAACCCGGGTCTCCACATGTTAAGGATGGGTTCCAGCCGCCGCCCACTGGCTACAATGAGGCGCTCCGGGGCTGGTTGTTTGTTTCGGGGCGGGTTCACAAGGCCTCAGTAGCCTGAATTACAGTTTAGGGTTTAAGGTTGGTGAAGGGTATTTGCCGGATTTGCGAGTCGAGGCCCTTTGCGTGGCACCTTAGGGTCAACGACGACCTTGCGCCGAACCTTTGGCGAGATCGACACAACAGGGGTAGTGAGTAGCTTGCCCGGTCAGGTTCAAGGTGCTCGGTAAGTTCTCTCGTCCTGCTCCGGTACGGTATTCAATTCGTGTATTCGTAGAGGTAAAGTAGAGTATAAAAAGCTTCACCTCGATTAACTCCTTGCCACTCCACTCATGCTCCGAGCACCCGTCCTGGTCGCTGTCGGGCCTGATGCATGAGGGAGTTTCTGGCCACCGAATAGAGGGAACCCGGCTACAATGCTACAATTGCAGGCTCAGGTTTCGGAAGCAAGTGCTTTGCAGCTTTCAAAGGGATCTGCTGGAAGAGCTCCTGATCAACAACGAGACACGACACTGCCTACCAAGATGAGATGCGAAGTTCTAGTGTGGATTGAACCGTAGACAACACTTGCAGCAATGCCGGTAATTACTCATTTGTCCTACTTGCGGGGGTTCCTCATTTACACCCATCCCCCAAGCTGAAAACCTAATCCCAAAGGACCCAAATCCTAAACTCTACCTACCGTCTCCATTGTAATTCCTTGTTTGGTTATAACCAGTTTCGTGGTTAGGATCCCATAATATAGTTTTGGGTTAACCCAAAAAAGTAGGAACTACAATGAAGACTATAGGTAAGTCCCGACCAGAAGCTTGGGCTCCTTCGTGTCTAGGACCTGGAGTAGCCCTTATTCCCTTTTTAGGGTTTAGGGTTTAGGGTTTAGGTTCAGGTTCCCTTACAAGCCCCTTCAAACCAAAAAGGGCACCCTGTTTATTCCCAGCTTACTCTTGGGTCTAGGTGTAAGCCTCGGGGAAGCTGCTTTCAGGTCAGCAGATGGTGGCACACCGTTGCACGGTGCAGCTGCCGAAGGGCACCGAGCTCAATTATTCAATTGAGGAGAGCTTTTTCGCAATAGCAGTGCCTTAGTCGAAGTCGGGCTGTAGCTACGTAGCACTGATTATGAGCTGTTTTTTAGGCCCTGTGATCCTTCAGGTTCGGTGTTAGGGTCATTTTCACCGGCAGACCTATGTACTTGTCGAGTGAGTGATGTAATCTAGAGGCCTAAATTTAAATAACAACCTACACTGTTTTGGGGTTTCCTTTACTATGAACCCCAAAACCCTCTTCTAATCATTAAGGCTCCTATATTAGGCTAATTCGTCTGGAGGCTTCCTCTTCGCGAGTATTCGGCTCACTGGGATGCGGTCTTAGGTCTGTGGTAAGGATGAGCGTTCGCATCTTTACCTTCTGACAGATACGAACTAAGTCAATACGAAAACGTGTATACGGAGTTCATAGGTAGTGCAAAACAGTTTTGGGCGCCATCTGCATGTTGTAGAGTGTGTGCACAGAGGCGGTGCTACTAATTTGTTGCCCTGAGGGTCCATGTACCCAGATGGTATTTACTTTGGCCCCAAGTATCAATATAGGGGCTACTTTAAGGCCAAAGTATATACTGTTTCTGCGCATGGAGTCTTAGGGTTTTTGCCGCGATAGTACCCAGGCGGAAAGGTGTGGTTGCACTTCTGTCGGGGAGATGCTTGTGCATAACGGCACTCCTTCAAAGAATCATTGTGTTCCGTATATTGGGTGGTTGTCAAAAACATGGCCCCTTTTTGGGTCCCTATTATAACACGGCACCTATTATTTAAGGTGCCCAAAAAAGGGGTCCTAATTCTGACAACTACCGCATTGTGTTCCGTATATGGATCACATTCGTTATGACAGCCCAGGCAGTAGTTTTGCTCAGTTCTTGCGCAGGCATAGCCTGGTCGTCCGGCAGTGGCCTCAGCCGAGTCTGGCTGTTCGTTCTGTTCTTTGGTTTTGTATGGGTTTAGGGTTTTGGGCTTGGTTTAAGGTTTTAGGGTTTAGGGTTTAGAGTTTCCTTTGTTCGCTTGCTCACTTGCTGGTTCGCTGGCTTGTGTGCTTGCTGCACATGTGTTGAGTGCTTTTGATCGCTTGCTTGATAGATTTCTTGCTTGTGTGCTGGGATTTAGACGGTTTTGGAATTTACGTATTCCTGGCCGGGCGCGTTCGTCGCTTGTGTCGTTGTTCATAAAGCTGAAGCTACTTTGGATGGGTTTTACCTGCTGGTCGGGGTTAAGATTTAGTCAGCGAGTTGTTTTTCGTTGCTGGGCTTTGAGGCCTCTTTACTCGTGAGCCTGTGTCTGGGCTTTGGCAAAGGCATAGTTTTCACTGTGGGCTGTAACGGAAACAGGACACAGGTTGCACGATGTTTGTGGGATTCGAACGCAGTCGCGCATGAACCTGCCAACATCAGAAACATTAATTCGCATGCACAAAGTCTGGGAACATTGCATCGTATTCTTGACAGGGCACGACATCAACGACACCGCGCTAAAGCCTAAACATTCGGACTTCCGCAGGAAGACAGAGTAGCTTGTCGCCGACAAAAAAGCAGAATCAAGTCTGGCTTGGACACGATGGCTTTGTCATAGTTGGGTAACATTTAGATTTTTATGGGTACTTAGACCCAATAAAAAAACTACATCTTTCATCCTATCCCGACCATGAACTAGATAGTGTGAGGGTTGGGAGAATTAGCAATAGGAACCCCTTCAAGTTCTTCTTTAGGTTTACTATGCGTTACAACAGCTCAAGTGTGGCGGAGGCACTACTTCGCTTTTTCCTGCCTGCTGCACTGCTACCGGCCATTGTCATATGTTTTAAACAGCTCTGGCCGCAGAAAGCAACAAGGAACCAAAGAACTGGATGGGACAGCTTGACCGCGTGGCTTCAGGCTCAAGGTGCAGTTGTGTCGTAGACTTGTCGCTGAGCTCCGCGAAACGCCATGGTAAAGATCCTCCCCCCCTTCTTTTACCTGGCTCTCTTGGCACAAGCTGCGGCAAAAGACTTGTGTTTGTCCTCCATCCATGTCATTGACGACTTCCTGCATGATGGTGAAGCATCGACGCTCCTGAAGAAGGTCCAGATGTCTGAGCCACTCGTGGAAGCTTCTGTTGAGGAGCGTCTCCGTGAAACGCTGGATGTCCCCCCTGATGCGGGGCTCGAAGGATCCGTCATCCCAGCCAGGAGCGCAAGCGGCAATGTGTCGGAGCACCAGGACTCAGGGGCTGGGTAGGTAACCTTTAACCTTTTGGCGCTTGTTTTATCTTGCTCTAGTTCAAAAGGTTAACCGTTGTTGGGCTAGGGTACTCAGCCCCTAAGAGGACAATGATGGCGTAGCAGTGACCAACAGCTCTTCTGCGGTCATTTATCTCGAGTCGGCACCAGATGGTGGAAGCCTTGGCAAGCTGGTCTTCAGGGAGAAGAAGACCTACTGTTCCGAGTCCCAGCTAGAGATGGAAGTGGATGCCATTGCAAAGCGACTCATTTCATGGGACAATGATGCATGCCTGCACAGCTTTCACACACATCATGAGGGTGCCCGCCACCTGCTTGGACCAATGACTTTGACCTCCGGAGGCATCGTCGGCGTGGGTGGACCCACCGTGACGGTGACCACCACCACAACGGCATCAATGACGATGACGGATACGAGCACGACGACACAGAGTGCCACCATGACAAGCACAACGACGGGGACAATGACCTATACGAGCACAGAGACAACGAGCACGATGACAACGGTCACGGTGACCACATCCACAGCGACTAGCATCACAATGACGGACACATCGACTTCCACAGTCGTGACGAGCACCGTCACGGCAACATTGACCATGACGGCCACAGCGACACAGGTGCTGCGTAGGGGCGGGCCTCTACACTTCGATGTTTCGCTCTTTTCTGTTCGCCCTAGGTGTACGTATGTATGTATGTATTTATGTATACATATATATATATATATATATATATATATCTGTACACAGACAGCCACATACGACATACACATACACATACACAGAAACACACACTCGAACATGTGTGTGTGTGTGTGTGTATATGTGTATGTACATATATACATGCATGTATACTGTATATTTCACACAGTTTATAGACTCAGATGTTAGTTGTGTCTACCATAAACCCGAAGGTTTAAGGTTTAGAATAATTCAAAAAACCCTAAACCCTAAACCCCCTAAACCCTACACCCCTAAAGCCCCTAAACCTCGTAAACCCTAAACCCCTAAACCGCCTAAACCTCGTAAACCCTAACCCCCTAAACCTGGTAAAGCCTAAACCCTCTAAACCCCTTAAACCCCCTAAACCCTAAACCCCCTAAGCCCTACACCCCTAAACCCCCTAAACCCTAAGCGCCGAAGCCGGCCCTGAAAGGCGATGGATGGCTCAGGCGTCAGTGCTGCTGAAGGATTTCGTCCCTCGTGGTGGCTGCCCGTCGCCCTCTCATGCTTCTCGGCTTAGAGTTTAGGGTTTTGGGGGTTTGAGTTTAGGGTTTGGGGTTTAGGGTTATAGCTCGTTGTTGAGGGCGGTGTTTTTCTTGTCGCAGACAAGACGACAGTTCTGAGGGGACGCAAGAACAGCTCAGGCTTGTTGCGCATCCACAGTTGATCGCCTGTCTCGCACGAGGGTCGCTAGCATTCTTGGGCCGGTTCGTGCCTTGGCTTTGTGCTGATCTTATGCACTTGGCCAGGATCTTCCACGAGCTTTTGCTTGTAGTTTTATTTTGCCTGAGGCGGCTAAGCATGCCCGCGTGCACTCCAGAGTCTTGTCTTTTGTTACAGCTGGCATTTTATCCATGCCTGTTCTGATGCAGTTGGCATTTAATCTTTAACGCTTGCAAGTTTGGACGGCATTTCGCATGTCCTGCCCGAGGGAGATATCCGGCTGCCCAGAGTCGAAGTATTTCTGTGCAGTAAAGGTAAGCAAAAGTCTGCATATTCGAGGGCCGAAGGAGAGGCAATGACAACTTCTGAAACTCGTCTTCACAGTGGCATGTTGCAGTAGTGCCGCATTGTCAGTTATACTTCGAGAAACCGTAATATAGCTCACTTCCAACCGTACCAATGAAGCACCGCAACTCGATCAGCGGAAGTTGCAGAAACATACGGTGAGCACTCCGGAGTTTCCTAGACATTAGGAGCAGTGAAGACAAGGTTGCAAGCAAGTTCACCCCCCTCAGCTCTGAGGCGCACATCGCCTATGCCCGATACGTACACCCTTTAAACCCCCAAATCCCTAAACCTCGGCTGGAGCACTAGTTGGAAGAAGCCCTCAGATAGCTCCAAGCCACCAAACCAAAAGCCCAGTAAACCGTCTATATAATTGCCGCCTCAAATTCGTGGTACCTTCCCTACACCACAAGTCATTGGTATAGTTCAAAACCTACCTTACCTTTGGTTAGTAGGGAATGGAAGAATGGCAGTAAATAGTAGTTATAGTTGTACCCCATTCCTCCATTCCCTACTAACCAAAGGTAAGCTATAGGATTATTAAGGCCCCCATATTATAGTACCCTTTATAGATCCCTTATAGTAACCCTTATAGTAACCCTTATAGACCCCTTTACAAGGCCCCTTTCATTCCCTACTAACCAAAGGGGTCGCCGCTCAAGCTTTGACCAGGGCTCTTCTCAACTGCGAGAAGTTCCGAGATGCTAACGTGCAGGCGCGTGTGGTATAGATTGAGACTCCAATATCCCTTAATTAAGGAATATACCTTAAATTATAGTAGGATCCCAAATATGACTTAAGCAATATTCCTTAATTAAGGGATATTGGAGTCTCTGATTCAGGTGGGTGGTTGTCAAAACTAGGGTCCCTTTTTGGGTCCTAATATAATACGGCACCTAATATTCAGGGTACCCAAACAGGGACCCTAATTTTGACAACCACGCAGGTGTGGTTCCTGGGTCAGCTGTTTAAGGGTTGAGGCCCTTTCCTCCCGAACTACTGTTACTTATTCCCCATGTGAAACAATGGAGATTCCCTTTGCAGGGCTGAGGGCCAGGGCTTTCGCCCAGCCGTACTTTGCAGCTTGGCTTCTGCTGTCCTATGATGCCTAGAATACCCCAAACCCCAAACCCCTAAACTCATGACCTTCACGTTGGTTTAGTCTCACCCATCAGATTCCGAACCACATGCCTCGCCTGGATTGTCCGAGTGTGAGCGCCGGAACCCTAACTTCTCTATGGGTTGGGCCTTCGGACTCTCGGAGAGGACGTCGCAACTTTGGTTGAATGGTCCGTATAGTAAGGATCTTACTATATAGGGTACTGTATTAGGGTTCCCTATTTTCGCAAACCACTAAATCACGAGTGTAGCGGTTAATGTGTGCTCTGGCCAATGAGTTAGGGAATGGCCAATGTGCTGTCGCTGGTACTGGAGTCCTCGCTGTGGTTCGTCCGAGAGTGGTGCTGAAATCACGAGTCGGAGTTCTTTGGCAAGGGATCCTCGAAGAAAGGTGCCCTTACCAGCTCTAACTTCTGCACCCTAAAGCACGGAATGTAGGGGCCGAAATAGCTCATACCCAGAAAACCCTTAAAACTCCAAAGTGACCCGCCCCTCTGGCAAGGGCAAGTTCTTGATCCCGAAACCTTCAAGCCCTCCAGCTTTCGGCCCCAAGAAACCCTTGAACGTACACACCTTGAATTGAACGCACTTGATTAATTGGTTCTCAAGTCTTCGCTTTGTTCTTGCCAAAATGCCAGGACCATGCAGGGCGGACCGCGTTGCACGTTGCAGCAGGCCGATAGCTCAAGTTTTATCCTTGAAAGAACTTGGTTTAGGAATCCTTATATGTAGGGGATGGAGGTTCCTTCACTTAAGCTGAAAGACTATCAAGGTTTGCTGTTTAACCATTCCAACGAGGCCCGCTGCAAAAAAGGATGGAATGGTTTCGGGGTTGAGGATCCCTCCGCACCGACAAAACGTCAAGTAAGTAAGCCGCAAGCCCTAAACCTCTGAGTCCGAGTTGCAGGAGTCCAAACCTCAGCCTCAAGCCCCAAAACCTCCTCTACGCCTAAACCCTAAACCCTCCCTTAAAGCCCCTAAAACCCGTAGTTATAAACCTTAATCCCTAAAAAACCCCTAAATCCAAATCCCCTAAACATACGTGCCCGGCGGAGCAATGAATGCTGGGAGGAGGAACTCCCGGCCCCCTGGCCTGGACAGCTCAGTCCCAGACCAGGAAATCGTTTACAGTAGAAGCCAGAAAGTTGGAACATCATGAGCCTCATGCCCTTAAAGGTAAGGTATAGGGGATCCCAGCATGAATCATCCTAAACCTATGTTCCAACTTTCTGGGGTTCACTATAGGGTTTAGGGCCTGGAGGATTTCGGGTTCAGGATGCCGACGTCTGGTCCACAGCTGTGGTGAGCTTACATGCCCGTCAGCAGAGCATCATTTACATCCTGGAGACGGTTGACGACACAGCTGCCCACAAGATCCTACGACTTTGACTACGGACAAGATGGTTTCGAGAGAGAGAGAGAGAGAGAGAGAGAGAGAGAGAGGGTTTAGTCTCAGAGATCCCAATACCCCGTAATTGAGGATTATACAATTGTACCGTAAATTATAAGTCTCAGGGTCTCAGGTTGCTTGCTCCAACTCCGGGCGAAGTGGAAAGCCTGCTGCAGAAAGGTTTCAAGTTGCGGATTGAGGGCTGAGGGTCTTGGGTTTAGGGTTTAGGTCTCGGGTTGCAGGTTTGGGGGCGTTTTCAGGGTCTAGACTTTAGGGGTTAGGGGGTTTTAGGGTCTCCGGTTTAAGGTTTAGGGTCTCGGGTTGAGGGTTTGGGGGTTGTCGGGTCCAGAGCTTTTGGGTTTGGGGGTTTTGTGGGGTTTAGGTTGGCTCAAGGTTCATAATATAGATACAGTAGGACCTTAATAGTAGCCCCATTATAGACTACTACTGTATGGGGGCCGTACCTAAGGTTTAGGGTGTATAGAGGCAAGCCCCAAGCCTTGAACTCTGAAACTCCAAACCCAGCAAGCCAAAAGTCCCACATCCCCCTTGGTGAATCTACGTTGTGAAAGTTGGTTAACGTTCTGAATGTTTATGGGTACGTAAACCCAGTAAGGAATACAAATTTAAGTTGATAAAGTTTCATGGTATCCCAATCATGAACTGGTCTAGGCATTCCAAGAGGTTCTGCCGGGAGAAGGCCATGGATTGCTGAATGCAAAAGCCTTGAATTCAGGCTATCGTTGAGAGCCCTTCTGTCGACCCCGAATGAACCTGTGACTTCTCTGTTGCTAAGAAAGTTTTACGGTTTCGGGTTTAGGGGCTTAGGGTTTTGGGTTTAGGGTTGTACTGTAGAAGTTCCAAGAATCTAACGTAGTCTAACCAGTGCTATCAAGCCGAATCGTTACTGTTACGTTAAAACTGCTCTAAACCCTATACCTGAAACCACGAAACCCGAGGCCTTAAACCCAACCATTTCAGCGGAGGCCTCGGCCACACGGCAGCCAAGCCGGCACATTGCTAGTTTCTTTGAGCTTGGCTTTAGGACCAAGCTTCTTGGTTTTAGGGCGTCAAGTTTCAGATTTGCAGTTTGAAGGTTGTGAAGGTTTGAGAGGGAGGAGGGTTTTTGAGTAAGGCTGGGTGTACTCTGCATCATCCAGGAACACCCATATCCTCGATCGTTAGGCTCTAGGAGCTGTAGACATAAACCAGATGCTTGGTGTCGAGACACTGGGACTCCGAGAGATCGAGCCCTGTGTGTTTTGTGTTCAGGTTCAGTGTCTTGAAACTCTTAGGAGTTACTGTAATTCTTGAAACTCCTAGGGTTTGCCGTAAATTCTTGAAGCTTTTATAGGGTTAAAGTTCCTGAAACTTCATAGCCCTTGGTCGAGATCTTCCTGAGTCCCAGTTGCCCAATGGGGCGCTGCCAGGTCTGCGCGCTTCTGCTTGCCGGAAGCCCAGCAGTGTGGCACCGAAGGCAATTTCTCGGAAAGTTGCATGTCAAACAAGTGTAGGATGATTACAATTTGTCGGGTACATGCATTTTTGACAGACAAGACTCATACAACGGCCGACGTCGGAGTTGTAAACCTTCTCATCTGATCCTCTGGTTAGGGGTGGCAAGCAGATGATTTCGGATGTTCGCGCGCTCATCAAAATCGCTTCGCTTACGACCACCCCTCCAACCCTCAGTCGTGGGTTAGGTTGGCTTGTTCGGGTTCAGGGTGCAGGGCCATGGTATCAGGGGCGAGAGCGATGAAAGCGAAAGAGTTTGTGCATCCCTGAGCCCGCCACGCCGAAGCCTACACTCCGAATCGTGAAATGCCTCGATCCAGCACTCACAAACCCCAAACTTGTGAACCCTAAACCCTTACAGATCCCTTAAACAAACCCTTAAAGGAGCCCTGGGCTCCTATGACAAAATCCGATTTAGGTTGCTTGGTTTGCCAAGGGTCTGCAAACGTGGCTCTTGTTGGTCATCTTTGTCACCTGCCCTACAAATGCCCCTCTAGGGCTCTGAAAGTCCTGCTTTGTGGATACTTGCATCAGTACTTGAGCCGTTATAACTGGAGTAGGGCTTAGGGCATGCAGGCTTGGGCGTGAGATCCCTGAACCCGAACTACGGCCTCACCCCAGGCCCTAATCCCTGACCCGAAATCCTAGACCAGGCACCTACAGGGTTTCTGTAGAGGGTGTGGTTTACAAGCTGCACACTGAAAGCCTCAGCCCTGAAACCCGAAGCCCCAAGCTCGTCCATCCGGAACCTCTGAACTCGACAAGCCCTGAACCCGGTATTGAACATGAATGCCGCCCGCCGTACGACCTGCAACTCTGAAGCCTACATCATAACGCCTAAAACACACCACACCGACATAAAAGCCTCCACTAAGCTCTAACCCTCAGACCCGATATCAAAACCCTGGATCTTACAGCTTCCGAAATTGCACAGCCTGATCCTTCGAACGTGGTAGACACCAGACTTTACCTGGCCAGGCTTAGGGCTGGATGAAGCTATGAATGACAAGACCATGATGACCATGTAATAGGATATCCAAGTTCGGACCCGCATGCTGGATGGTGACTAAGGGCACTGATCCCCCTACTTTGGTTTCTGGATCTGAGGATGTGCTCGTTGTTCAGAAGCACCGTCGCTTCATAAGCTGCGGGCCTCGTCTTATCTCTTTCGAGCTACCTTTGACAAGGTGCTTGGCGAAAGCAGCTGGGACGATGTCCATCGTCGCCCGAGTTGTCATGCGCGGATGTGGGCTAGCGCATGCGGTATTCCTCAATCTGAGATCATCGAGGGGTATCGACGCTTACGGCTTTGAGAGGGCTGGCACTCGAATCCGCGGTCTGCTGCGGCTGCGTGCGTTGCCTTCGGCTACGCGCCTCTGGCAGCGGTCCGGCAGTAAAGCCAATGGAGTGCACTGGTTCATTTACGTGGTTGGCGCTGCTAAGGATGCGGTCCCTGTGCAGCGGACATTGGCGTGCAATGGGTACCATGGACGGCCGATGAGTCTTGTGCCACTACGTCACACGTGCCGCCACCCATGCCAAATTGGGATTTGTATTGGGGAGAGGTTTACGCCTTTGCGTGAAGTAGGCCGACTCGGCTTTGAAGCAGCGGGCTGTGATGTGGCGCATGCGCAAGCTCCAAGCTTTAAACTTTGGAAATTAGACCAACCTCATGTTCCACCCTGGAGGCGCAGCAGCACAAGTGTGAGCAGGCGCCCCTAAGCCCAAACAGCACGTCTGATCCCTCATATTATATAATCCTTAACCTAACCCATGAACAGCTCATCAACGCGTCGAAAGCGTAGGCACGATAGTGTGAGCTAGACCATCCGCATGACTCCATTGCTACTCCGAGCAACCCGAACCACGAGTAGCCCTAAGTCTCGCTCGACCGGCACCATAGCTATGTTGTCTCGATGCCAACAAGGCCAGTTCCAAATTCTCGGCCGCCAACATGCAGGAGTGGTGGTGGCAGTGACTCCTCATAGCCATAGATGAAGCATAATTAAACCCTCCACCGATGATTAGGTTTGTTTGGGCCTGTGGCGTTTCTTCATTTCCCCGAGCCTCTGTCAAGAATCCGACGACTCGGCTACACGTTCCTGCAGCCCCAAATCCGAATGTCATTGCAGCCTCCAAAGAAACAGTGTTTGAGAGTACTTTGGATATTGTGCATGTGTAATATAGAGAATGCAGAAAAAGGAACCCTCAAAAATGTAGGGGTACGGCTGATGATATAAATCCTGCATTACCCATAATAAGGAATATACCATAATTCCCATAGTTTAGGGTCCTTAAGGTAATGCAGGATTTATATCATCAACAGTAGGTTCCCTAAACCCCAAACTCTACAATCCGAAACCCTGCAGGACTGGCACGGGTGGACAGCCCTGCACTGCGCTGCGTCGCAGGGTCGCCGTGAGGCTCGGCTTAGGGTTTAGGGTTTTAGGGGTTTAGGTTTTAGGTTTTAGGGTTTTCGGTTTAGGGTTTCGGGATGTAGAAACTTAGTAGCCGAGTGGATACACTTTACACTTTTGGGGATAATACTACCCACTATAAGACTGAAAGCGTGCACTATTGGGGGCTTATGAACTCAGCAACTAGGGAAAGGTTAGGTTAGGGCACCACGATTTGGAACAGCTTCCGGGATCCAAACTGATTTGGAACTCAGGGTTCGAATGACAAGGTGCTTCGGTGTTTAGGGTTTAGGGCTTTTCCGCCTCCCCGTCTCGCATTACCGTTAGGGCTTGTTGTCGCTGGTTAGGCTTTGGACAATGCAGGCTTTCAGTGGCGAGGCTCACTCCCAAAACCCTGGCCACAAACCTTAACTTAAGTTCGAGCCGTACATTTATCCACATACAGTAAACTAACGAGATAGCTTCAGCTTTCTTTTTGACACCCCAATTCGACACCGTCTAAGCGAGTTTACGGGAGTGCAGAGCTCATGGGCCACACAGCATCGCAAGCTCAGGCAAGTCTTGAGCATTCATGACATGGCTTGTCGTGAGAGGCTCCCCCCCACAAGCATCTGTCTCGGTGTGCCCTCGGAGGTCTGCAGCTTTCTGCTGGGCAACCCCCGCTTTCGGCTGGCCGTCACCCCAGGACTTGATTAAGCTCGAGTACCCTGCTCAAGGGTTTACGGGGTCAAGGTTGCCAGGTCACAAGGTCAGGGTGCAGGATTCAGCCGAGCTGGACATGTATGTCCTGTAGCCATTTGCAGCGTAAACACTGAAACCCCGGACGACAATCAAGCAATAAATAAAGTTTGCAAGCTTTTAGGCAGGGCCACTGATGTAACCATGTAAATTTCAGCGTAAACACCGAAACCCCAGACAGCAATCAAGCCTTTATCTTCTAGGCTGGGCCACAGGCTCTTGGCCGAGAAAAGTCTTGGAAGCTCGTCCTGCCGGGGTTTGGTGTTTGGGGCGGCTTTTTGGAGCGTCGGCTGAGTTCTTGTCGGAAGAAGTACACATGCTTTTTCTCGGGCTTCCTTTAGTCTGGATAGTATATAAAGCCTGTGCCCCAAAGACCTTGCCTGCATGCGGCATAACCAATGGGACCTCCAGCCGCCGACTCCGAGTATGACGTTGCTCATGTTGTGTGGGGATATAGGCTTTGAGGGCTGAGCATAAGGGGTTTCAGGGCTGAGCCCAGACATCCCGGTGCTGGGGCCGACTTCAGTGATAAAATTATTCGTGCATGGACGATGGCCCCAAACCTGCCCGGAGAACCCAATACCACCTACTGGTAATTGAGGATTATACCTTAAATTATAGCGGGCTTCATATTATGCTTATAAGGTATATTCCGAAATTCAGGGGTCTTGGGTTCCCTGGGGCCCAGACCGACGACCTCCTGTTACCCAAAACGCCGAGCCCCTGAACTGAAACCCCGACACTCCGCCCCCCCCCAACGTCCTACTTGCGGGATCATGGGGCTTACAGTAGCAAGTAGAGCCTAAGTAGGGTTTAGGGTTTAGGGGGGATCATGGGACTTAGTAAGCAGGGTTTTAAGGAAGGTGTATATGTACTTATAATAGCCTCATTAAGGTACTTATAGCCGCGTAGCCCTACTTACTAAGTCCCATGATCCTCCAAGTACTTCATCTTACCAGTCTTCGCAGAAGGGCAGGGTGACTGGATTGTTGTGGTTCCCGTCGAGGTGCATTGGTTGAGACCAAATATTTTGTGAAATTCAAGGCAGTCAAGGGATCAAATGTACCATATCGAAAAGTAAAGCCCTTTCAACAGCCCCACTATTGCATCCTTGACAGCCCGATGAAAGTACGTGAAAGGCCCAGCGACATCCTTTTCTGTGGCCCCTCTCAGACTAGCCCCGATGCCCGGATACGAATCGTCTGATACTGTCACACCCCCAGAGAGCCCAATACCCCTTAATTAAGGAGTATGGCTTAAATTATATAGGGCTTCATATTATGGTTTAAGCTATATTCCTTTTAATTAAGAGGTATAGGGCTCTCTGGGCCACCAGCACCCCCGGGGTTTCCGGTCAGGTGGCTGCGGTCCAGACGCATGGCCTGCACTTTGGGTTCTCTAGCCTATACTTAGGGGTACTTAGAAATAATTTTTAATTTTTGGTTATTATAATCCCTAAGAAACAGCTAAAATTATAATTTTTGCAAGGGTTCTAAGTTCAGTATAGTACACCCTAAAAAGATAACGCGCAGGCTGCAATTGGTAAGATGGAGGCACCGGTTTCGGCTCTGATTCTTGGAACTTGACATTTCGGGATTTTGGCCTGGAGAAATAGGGTTATGGGCTTGGGGTCCTCGGCCCGATTGGCCGAAAGACCAGCTTTCTCAGCTTAAGGTTTGGAGGCAGTGGGAAAGGATTGAGGTTGAACCCCCGTGAAGCTATATAGCAGCCCCTCTGACCTATCACACAGCGGACATATGTAGTTTGGGAAGGACTGGTGGAGGGATTGGAAGCGTTTGGATAAACGGACCGGAGACGAAAGAGACCCCGAGCCATGTCTTTTTGTTTTAGACTGTAAACTGTTACGAAGGGCTCGTAACAGGATGCGGCAGTCGCGTAGAAACGCCGGGAGTTGAAACGGGCGGCATTTCAGTTCAGACCCGTTCAATCGCCCACAGATATCACAATCGCTAGAGCGCGAAAACAAAGCAGGTTGGATTATCTTGCTGGTTATGCATTCTACTATATATAGGGGCATGCTTCAGTGTTGCCTTGTGTCGGTACCCTCGGCGTACCTGTCCGGTGGGTTGCTTGTTCGATGAAAAGCCTGAGTACAATTTCGGACCCGTCGGACTCGGACCAGCACCCTACCTCTAGAATCTTCAAATCCGTGTTTAGGGTTATGGGCTCTTTGTTTGGTGGTCCTTCTATTCAGTATCGTGCTAGTTGTCCATATTCGAGCCCTGTATTTTCTTAATCTCCACAATGTGGAGCAGCGTTGTAAACATCTCAGGCAGGATGGCCTCAATGCGGTGGCTTTGGCAGAGCAAGCTGGCTCCGCCCGGGTCCCTGGTGTAGGGTTCCTTGAAGGGTTCCATTAATGCATGCATGGGGCTTTGAGATTGTAATCTAATATCGCTAACACGAAGTACTTCTTGGCTGCACTCATCAACATGCAATGCGCTCGTAAAGTTTGCTGGCTTCAGGCATTGTTTTCTGCCTATGCGGCGGCGAGGTCGCAACGGTGCGCACGCTGGAGCTGCATCCGGCATTCGGGGAGGCTCCGTTGCGCGCAGAAAGCTCTTTGCGACTGAATCTCAGCGGTTGGGGCTTAGTGTGTGGGGTTCCTGGCACTTGCGACGAGAACACAAACATTGCAGTAGCTCAGTAGCTACAAGAACTGGCGAGAAACTGCCCATGTTTACCTGTGCCCCCCAATTCCTTTTTCTGGTCCGTGTAGGCCAAAACGACGGTGCAAGCATCTTGTTCTGTCGACACAAGTTTCAGTGTACACGCTTTTCTCAAAGAGCGTGTAAGCGAGATTCTCCGGCGCCAATGAGCCCCCATGCAAATAAGGATGCAGCAGGATGCTCAACGATCGTTGACCCTGCCGCAGGATCTGAAACATGCTGCTGCTTTGGCCCGGCCATGCTTCAACACCTGAACGGCCAGAATGCTTAATCAGGTTCTTAGCAGAGTTATGTAAGGCAAGGCTGAATTGAGCACGTATGCCGGTTAATCTATGTACCAAGTGCCCTGATCCTGCAGGCCCTGGATTCCTTACAAGTTAGGGTCCTCAGCTGAGACCTTCTTGAAACTGTCAGTGCTTTATGCCAGCAGGCAGGCCAAGCTCCGAAGAGGCTCCCTGTTTTTTAAAGCCGCTGGGAGGATGAAGGGGCTTCGTTTTAATATGGTTTTACCAATGCAGGCTTTCAACACGGCGCTGCGTGGTGTGAGGAACAGGGGACTTAGTAAGCAGGGTTGTAAATTGCAAATCCCCGGAGTTACTCTGTCGTGTGATGCAATTTGTAACCCTAACTACGTAAAACCGATGACGTAAGTCCGTGACCATACGAGTTCAGGGTTTACGGATAGGGATTAATAAACATCCTGAAGTAACAATCGCGGGATGTGGTACCAACTGCCATGGTGTAAAGGTTTGATGTTTCGGGGTTTGGCGATTTATACCAGTGCTGGGGGGTTTAGTTTTCAGAAGCAGCGATTATTTCTGCTAGCGTGGACGCAAGACCTACGTTGTCGAGGTTTGGCAGCTTGTTCTCCGGCAAGAGATGTTCGGATCGGTAGTACTTTGAGACCCAAGATTCAGGTGCAGCTGCAGGCCGTTGGTTGTGGGAGGGTTGGACCCAGAGCCTCCAAAACCCATTAATTAAGGAATATTCCTTAAATCATATTCAGGATCCTACTATAATTTAAGGTATATTCCTTAATTAAGGGGTTTTGGAGGCTCTGGGGAGAACACTGCTGGCAGCAGGTAGCGAGCAAGACACGTATCTCAGCTTCGGGCTGGTCCGTTTACGAATTGTGGGAGCTTGTACGCAGAGAGCCCATTACCCCCCGTAAATTATTTAGGGCTTCATATTATGATTTACCCTATATTCCTTAGTTAAGAGTCGGCCGTAGCAGTAGCAGTTGTAGTAGTCGTCGGCGTAGTAGTAGCAGTTGCAGTAGCAGGCACACTGGCAGTTGTAGTAGCCGTCGTCGTTGTAGTACTCGGTAGGAGTAGTAGTACTAGCCAGCGGCGTGTTTACCGTACCCGTGAAATCGGCTACTGGGGACTGGGGGGGGGGGGGGGGGAACGACATGGTTGACCGTAAGCAGTAACGGGGGGGGGGGGGGGGGCTAATAACGACATGGTTGACCGTAAGCAGTAACACAGTAGCGCCGGTAGCAGTAGCAGTGGCAGGATGCTTGTAACAACGTGTCTTGCTCCACATTCTTGTGCAGCATGTACAAAAAGCCAAAAAATGCTGTAAATACCAGTGTTTTGGGCATGACCGCCAAAGGCAATCACATGAACATTAACCTGACCATCTTCATCATAACCATCATCCTCGCCATCTTCAACATCATCGTTAACTGCATCACCGGCCTTATGTTGATGATGACGACGATTATGAGGATGATGCTAGGGATGATGACTATGAGGATGATGATGAAGATGATCAGGTAAACGATGATGTTGAGCATGGCGAGGATGATGGTTATGAAGATGATGATGATGAAGATGGTCAGGTTGATGTTCATGTCACTGCCTTTGGCGATCATGCCCAAAACGCTGGTATTTACAGCATTTTGGGCTCTTGGTACAACATGCTGCACAAGGATGTGGAGCAAGACACGTTGTCACAACACACGCGCGTAAACCTTTTCGAGCAACGCCTCCCACACAAAACGCAAAACAGCCTTGTCATTTGCGTACTTCCAAAATACACTGAAATAAGCACGCCACCACAGCGGCAGCTGCGTTTTTCAATATTTAGGAATACGGTAAACACGGTGGCGGGTAGTACTAGTACGAGTAGTAGTAAGTAGTACTAGTAGGAGTAGTAGGAGTAGCAGGAGCAGTCGTCGTCGTCGCCGCAGTGTCGTAGTGGTAGTGGTAGAGGTACTCGTGGTAGCAGCAGTAGCATCAGTTGGGGTTGCAGCTGCTTTGGCTGTGTTGTTGCAGTTGCTGCTGCTGCTGCTGCTGCTGCTGCTGCTGTCGCTGTCGCTGCTGCTGTTGCTGCTGCAGTCGTTGCGGCTGCTGGTGTTGTCGTTGTCGTCGTCGTTGTTGTTGATGTTGAGATGTTGTTGTTGCTGTTGCAGCAGATGGTCTTGTCGTTGTTGTGGTTGTGGTTTTAGCTGTAGTAGCTGAAGTAGTAGCAGTTCTTGCTGTTGCTGGTGCTGTTGTTGCTGTTGCTGCTGCTGCAGTTGTTGTTGTTGCTGCTGCTGCTGGTTTTGTTGTCGTCGTTATTGTTGTGGTCCTTTTTATTGATATTGGTGTTGCTGTTGTTGTGAGTGAGTGAGTGAGTGAGTGAGCGAGCGACTAGCTGCACGAGGTGATGCGCGCAGCAGCCATGCCTAAGGCGCCGTTCCCTCCCGGCTTCTCAGGGGGCTCCGCAAGCGTCATTGCACCCTCCACTTGGAGTTCCCGCTGGCGAACGCCCCAACCCCAGAAACAACGTTATGAGGTCAGCAAAGACGGCCCAGTTTGGCAAGAGGGCATGCCAACAATCGCACGATGTAGCAACTAGGCAGGCCCGCCACCGGCAAGCCGGCATAAGGGCAAGACAGCGTGCCATCCTCGCGGATACCCGTGCGATCAGGCTCTTCCCTTGAAGGTCCCCCTCCGAGGTACTAGGCCACGCAAACAACGTCCCTCTGCGTCGGGCTGAGCGCAGCCGCGAGCCAAATGGCAAGCACGCTTCTCTACAGATCCCTCTGCAGATACTAAGTGCGAATCGCGGCCCGTGTGCTCCCGGAACCCACTCACTCCCCCCACCGCTTTCCTGTAACAAAGGTGAAATGGCAAGAGCTTCGCCACCCACCTGTAATTAGGTCCCGTACCAGTGTACCCTCTGAGTGGTGGGTGAAGGCCAAAACTCCGGCCAGCACCCCTCCGGAAGAGGGGGTGTTGTTGTTGTTGCTGTTGGCTGGGGGCTGTTGGCTGTTGTTTGTTTGTTTGTTTGTTTGTTTGTTGGTGGTTGTGCTGGCAGTGCTGTTGTTGTTGGTGGTGGTTGTGTTGTTGTTGCTGCTGTTGTCGTATTTATTGTTGTTGTGTTGTTGTTGTTGGTGGTACAGACAAAACAGCAGCCCGTAACTTATGTTGATTAGCAACAGTTGGGGCGCCCGCATAGGGTGCCTGTATATTCTGAGGGAATGCAAGCCATGGTTTACAGAATCTGCCCCATGATAGAAATGCGTGTGGGCTGGGTGGTTGTTGTAAAGGGGGAGGGGTCAAAGCAACAGACAGGGCTCCAGTTTTTGTCTCTACCAGCAGGTAGAGATAAAGTCCTGGTTTCAACAGGGCCTTTGTCCCTACCTGATGGTAGAGACAAAATCTGCAGCCCCGTCTGTTGTTGTGACTCCCCCTTTTACAACAACCGCCCGCATTGCACCACATTTCCACCCCAGGTATTGGAATCTGCGAACTGTAGAAGAGTTTTCATGGGTTTTGCAAAGGAGTTTAGGGGTAATGTTGTCATGTGATTCTGCATGGTGTAGGACGTTTAAAAGTTAAATGGGGTTTGAAAGGGTTTCTGGAAGTTGCAAGGGTCTTCATTGGATATCGAACAGCTCAAAAGGCATTTGGAAGGATTTTAAGGGTTTTATGTGATGTCGAAGGGCTTCAATGGGATTCTGAATGGCTTTAAAGGGATTCGGAAGGTTTTCAATGTGATTTTGAAGGGTGGGGGTTGGAAGGGTATTGATGGGGCTTAGGATGGTTTTAAACGGCTTTGGCTGTAGTTGGAAGGGGGTTTAGAAAGATATCAATGCTTTGGAAAGTGTGGGCTTTAAGCGCTGCAGCCCTGAGCTGAAACCCGAACATAATCCCAGCAAGTCCCAAGATCAGAAAACCGGACGTTCTAAAGCGTAGACACACGTGAACCCTGGACACCTCCTGTTTTGCGCCCGATAAGCCGAATCCTTGGAAATGCTTTGAAAATCCTTCTAAAACAATTGCAAATCCCATTGAGTTATCGAAATCCTCTAAAATCCGTAGAAGTTTTCTGAAAATGCTTGGAGATCCTCTGCAAATCCTTCAAGCCCTGTACACCATAGCCACTGTGTTGTTGGGGGGGGGGGGGGGGGGGTTTAAAACAACATGGCGGGGCTCCTGTTGTTGTCTTTACCTGAATGTACAGACAAAAATAGCAGATAACATCGGTTGACGGGGCTGCAGTTGTTGTTTGTACCTTGTTGGTGGTGTCGTTGTTGTTGTTGTTGTTCGTGGTGGTGGTGGTGGTTTGGGTTTGGATGTCGGTGTTGGTGTTGTTGCTGCTGGTGCTACTGGTGCTGCTGGCGCTGTTTCTGTTGTTGGTTGTTGTTTGTTGCGTCTTTTTGTAGTTGTTGCTCTTTAGATTTGTACTCTATGTTGTTCGCTGTTCTCTGATCGCTGTTTGCTGTGTGCTGGTGATGGTGCGGTGCTGTTGTTGTTAGTTTTATTCTTGTTGCTGCTGCTTGTCCCTGGTGTTGTTGCTGCTGGTGATGTTGATGCTGTTGGTCGTGGTATTGGCGTTGTTGTTGCTTGTTGTTCATTGTTGTTGCTACTGTTGTCAGTTGTTGATGTTGTCTTCGCATGTAGCAACAGCGCAGTCTTTAGACGACCGCCACAAAATAACGGCTCTGTTTGACGGTGGGATTTGGCAACCAAAAACCATGATGCAAATTCTAGGCAGGGTTTTCCGAAGCCGAAGAACTACCTGTCATTGAACCCGGTTTGGGCATCGCTAAATGTCTGTTCCCACCCGGTAAGCATGTGGAAGAAGACTCAGATCCCAGAGCCTTGGTTTGCTGTCTAGTCTGGTGGCGCGGTTTTTTGGGTTTATCGTGTTATGATAGAACCCAGACGACAAGAAATCTGACACGAGCTGTAACTCCTGTCAAGAGCAGGGTCAAGGCCAGCACACGAAACTTCAAAGATTCTTGCCGGAGCAAATCGCGACGGCAGCCGAAGTGTACCTGATGCCGCGAGGTGAAACTCACACGAGAAGTTCACTAATGTTGCCTTGACCTGACCTTTGTCATAGTTGGGTTACATTTGACATTTTTATGGGTACGTAAACCCAATAAGGAATACAAATTTAAATTTTTAATCCTATCCCAACCATGAATTAGAAATCGTGTGATCTTGCCGGCGACTCTCTTGGAGGAACGGTTGATGATATAAATCCTGCATTACCCAGAAATAAGGAGAATATACCTTAATTCCCACAGTTTAGGGTCCGTAAGCTAATGCAGGATGTATATCATCCGTAAGCTGTCAGCATGTTGTCGGAATTGCTGAAAACCTCTACATGCACACGCGATCTGGAGCAACATGTGGGTGGTTGTCAAAACTGGGGTCCCTCTTTGGATCCTTATTATAATACGGCACCTAATGGTTAGGGTACCCCAAAAGGGACCATATTTTTGACAACCATCCATGTGCCAACTCTTATGATATCGTTTATCAGAAGAGCAAGCTGCCACGAAGGCCAACGCATGGAGTTGTTGCTCCACGGTGCTCGAGGGGACTAGGCTGTGTCTTTGTTCCGGGTCTTGAATCAGTTCCACCACGCAGGCCGTCCTACACAATGGTTGCTTTTTGTCACCTCAGGCGTGCAGGTTGAAACCCGGGCCATGTTTTTCATCAACCCGCTGTTTAGTTTCGAAGCGCTTTTTGTCATTTTTTGAAGATCCATAGTTCTACCACGTTTCATTCGCTTTAGAAAAGCCCCACAACCTCAATGGATTCACGAAACATAATCAGGGCCTAGTGGGCAGTACAATGCACGAAGCATTCATGCCTTTTATGCCCAGGAGTATTGAAGCGTGCAGTGAAGCTCTGGGTGATCTGTAGCTCCCTTGGATCGTTTGCGGTCAGCCCGCGTTAAGTCCCAATCCCGATTTCGGCTGCCGATGCGAAGGCCATCGGGTTTAGGGTTTAGGGGTTTGGGGGTTCAGGGTTTCGAATTTAGGTTAGCATGGAATTGAGGAGGTGACTGACGGGTACTGCAAGTGCGCACACGCGGCATTGCTGCATGTGGCCGCTTTTTCCCTTTGTTAGTTTACTCATATGTTGCCTGGCCTTGTTGTGTATGTGCTGGTGCACATGCCCATACAAACATGGGTGGGCGGTGTCGGAAAAACTCCGAGACGTTGTCCTGCTTGGCTTTGACCTTCTTTATCTGGTTACAATACACGGCACCCCAAGCGCTGCCTTCTACATGAAAGTTTTCGTTCCCTTATGGCTGCAAAAGGAAGCCAATGAAACTCAGATCTGCAGAACAACTGTGAAGCCTTAATGTCTTTTGTCCTGTGTGTCAGTGCCAGCCACCCCAAACCCTGAACTCCCTGAGGCCTCGACCGAAAGTAGGTCTCCTTTGCAATGGCCAGGTCACCAAGAGCGCCAGCAAACTCAGCTGCTCAGAGTTTGCTTTTCAGCAATTCAGCAATATGATCTAAATTTTGGGTTTCATACGGCTGATACGCTCGTGAAATGTGCAATATCCCTTGCTGTCAAACGGGAACCTCAACACGACTGTAGGTTTAGTTGTTCTACCTTCGCGCATTGAGGAGATAGTGTTGGGCTTCAGGGTCGGAGGAACTTTGTTGTAGTATAGGAGCACGACTAATTACCAAAATCCTTCGGTAGGGTTCCTTAATTATGCACATATTATCACAAAAGATTTCAAAACCCAGTTCTACCGATTATGGTAAATGCATTGTATCTGTAACCCTGTCCTGTACCCTTGACCCTGAAAGCAGGACTCGCGAATGATTCTTTCAGGCAGTTGAAGCCAGAAGCTGTTTCATCTAAGGTTTGAGTTCTGGACTGATCGTTCTTATTGGGAGGATTCCGGGTCATGCCTTGTTAAAACCAAGTACTTTTGCCTCCTGCATGGCTTATGTCGGCGAAGCAGGGTAAATGAGCCATCATTCTTGAAGTCCTTATATGGGAGTTTCCGAAAATTCGGGACCCTAATATAGTACCCTAACTAGTAGGATCCTTATTATAAGGACCCCAAAATAAGGTACCCCTTATCTTCGGAAACTCCCATATAAGTGCCCCCATGTTCGGGTTCAGGGTTCCGATGTCAGGATCGTGCTTGAGCAACTGTGGACTGGGAGCTGCGCAGTGGCGAATCGTTTGGGGAATTACCTATACTAGTTTCGGCGGTTCTGTATTATAACTATAGTAAAAATGGCCCAAAAGCCTGTTCTAATTGTTAAGGCCGCGAAATTATGTGGAAGTTTGGGTTTTGGATGTCCAGAGTTGGTGCTTTGAGGCTGTAAGGACTGGCCCTATTTCGGCATAGAAAGCAACTACCAATCCCAAGGAGACGTTGTATTTCGGGGTTCTGTGTTCTAAACTCTACTATGCGTCAACAGGTACGTTCTTTCCGGTGCACCTTGAAGCCTGAAAGCGCTCAAAACCTTAAAGCCCCATGCCTTGGAGTGCCAAACCCTATGGAAGCTGGTTCCCAGAGACTCCAATATCCCTTAATTAAGGAATATTCCTTAAATTATAATAGGATCCCTAATATGATTTAAGGAATATTCCCTAATTAAGGGGTTTTGGAGGCTCTGGGTTAAGATTTGCCCCAGGCTACCGACCTGTCCGAGGAGTGAAAGTCTAGAGTTTACTCCCCACAGCAAGCCAGAGACTCCAAAACCCCTTGATAAAGAAATATCCCTGACACTTTAATGGGTACCCTAATATGATATGAGGTACATTCCTTAACGGAATCTCTGGGAAGCCTAACTTGACTCTGAAGCAAACTCTGTGCCTTGAAGATCTACCTTCACCCACCAAAACCCTACCTTGTGTAGGGTCCCTATATACAATCTATGTTCGGATTTATAATAAGAACCTACAAGCACATAGGTTTTGGTAGGTTAAGTTAGGGGTGAGGTTTCTAGCAATCGAAAGCACCGCAACAACGCGGAGACTCATACAGAAGCAAACCCCGATTCTATGAACTTTGAGGAGCAGGGGTTCAGCGTTGCTAGGTTGAGCCTCAATGACATTACTCCGAGCGTCATTGCGGTGAATGGTAGTACAGTCAAGCGTAAGTACGGGTCCCTAAGGGCCCATGTACCAGAATAATATAGACTGTCAAGGACTTGGGGTTCATGCATACGTACTTTGAGGTCAAAGTAAATCTCTACTATGTTGGTAGACCTCTGGGGATGATGGACCCTGATCCGGTCAGCATTTGGGATGTTGGGCGCTAGAAAAGCAACTCTTGGCGACGGCATCTATCGGATCGGCTTCCGAGGGCCGTGGGGTCAAGAGCTGCGACATGGGTTTCATAGGGTTTAGGGGTCGGGATTTAGGGGTTTCGGGTTCGGACTGCGAGGTGAGGTAGTATGGACCCCAGGATTTCAATGCCGAGTGAGTCTAAACCAGAGAGAGAGAGAGAGAGAGAGAGAGAGACAGACAGAGAGAGAGAGAGGGGTGGATCGGGGCTTTAGGGTTTGGGGTTTACCAACTCGAAGCCACTCGAAATCTAGCATCCCGGCGACTTTTGCTTTCATATCGCAAGTCTTACATCACATTTCGGAATGTCCCAAAGGCAATCTAATGCCTTATCCAGCGGTCTTTGGTTTCTTGGGGCTTCCCACATCGGAGCAGAACTTCGCAGCCCACTTTGCCATGTTGCCGGCGGTGGGCTGGAGGGAGGTGCGACCATGAGTTTCGGTTCTTCCCAGAGAGCCCAATACCCCTTGATTAAGGAATATAGCTTAAATCATAATATGAAGCCCCATACAATTTAAGCCATATTCCTTAATTAAGGGGTATTGGGCTCTCTGGGTTTGTGCTTGGGTTTGGCGGTTCAGGGCCTATGGGTTCGGGGCATCCCCTGCAGTATTTTGGGATGGCACTTGTAAGTCGGATTATAAGTAGCTTGATCAGTATTATGAATAGATAGAGCTATGATTACCTTACTCATAACCCAACTTGCTGAGTCCCATGATCCAAGCAAGCGGGACGCCAACCGAAGAAACACGGGCTAATTTTGAGTGCGGTAGGGCTACCAGAGATCTAGAACTCGACAACCGAAAGCATGGGCTAGTATGTATATAAGAGATCTGTAGGGTTTCGGGTTTAGGGGACTCCAACATCCCTTCATTAAGAAATATACTCTAGGCTATAGTAGGACCCTAATATGATTTAAGGAATATTCCCCAACTATAAGCCTCAGCGTTTTTCTCGCTGTGGAGACCGGGGTCAGTGCAAAACGCGAGCATCACAGGAGCCTTAGCATGGCTTAAGGCACGCGCACCTTGGATATCACGTATCCAGCAAAGGTTTCGGGTTAGAGTGAGAGCCTGTGCCAGATGTTCTTGCATGGCATCCGCAGTCAGGCTTGACGAACCCGTGGTCCTGTCCTCCGAACCCTGTTCTGACTTTACCCGGCCATGCTGGCTGTTCACCTGGCAATATGGGAAGTGAATTCAAACATGTTATCCGAAGCAATCTTCAAAGCCCGGATCGCGAAGCTCAAAAGCCCCAAATCCGAAAACCCGTTTCGGAATTCAGCCTACTTAAGCTCGCGGCATAGCCGCCCCCAAGTCGAGTCTTCAACTGAGATTGGCCGTGTTTTGCCACTTCTTGCGCAGGGAAGGCGCAGAGAGGATGACCCCATCAGTGCCTTGGCGAATGGCTTCACTTGATCTGCGGGTCTTTACCAGGTTGATGGTCCGCTTTCTTTCAGGCATTCACCTGCCGTTTCGCCGTTGGCCCAATAGCACCGCAGGTAGGGTGCTCCGGATCAGACTCTTTCTAGATCAAAGCCAACTGGTATTCGCAAGTTGCCAGTCAACAAACTGGAACATATCAGGTGTCCATGCTGACGCCGGTAGTACGCATCATCATGATAGAATAGGAAAGTCCAAATCGGCGAGTGCATACCGAGATAAACTATAAGACAACAGAATAGAAGACCCTCACACATCAAGCCCTAAACTCTAATCCCTATGATGGGATGAGCAGAGAATTTGGGAATTTGAGAATTTGTTCGTTGCATGTGCAAGCTGCAGGATGGGATGATGGGGAGCAGAGAATTTGGGAATTTGAGAATTTGTCTGCTGCATCTGCAAATGGAAGGCGACAACGAACTTGGTGCCAAGTGCGAGCTGCAAGTGACTTGTGAATTCTGCTGGGAGCTGCATGACTTGGATGTGAGGGAACGTGCTGGCATGCATTTTGCGAGTGCGTGGAGGGCCCAGCCTGTCGTCTTGCGGATGTTGTCTGGCAGTCTGCTGTGAGGCTTGAGAAAGGTAGTGTAGTAGTTAATGTTTTCCCCGGCTAACAAATGTGTTGGGATGAACTGCCAAAGTGCTGTCGATGGTGCTGGCATCCTCGCTGTGGTTTGTCCGAGAGTGAGCGCTGAAACTCTAAACTCTAAATAACACAGCCTGAGAGCCTCAAGCCTGGTTCCTTTCCCAGGACTGCCGCTTGGCAGCGCTACCCGGTCCTACTTGCGCCGGAGCCACCCGGCAGAGTCCAAAATTTGGTTTCGGATTTAGTGGGTTTAGGGTTTATGTAGCGACGGTAAGTGGGATGCTCTGTAACTCTGTAGGGCTGTGCCGGATTTGTGGGATTCTGGGTCCCGAAATGCGGGTTCGTCCTTGATAAGTGGGCGGCAATTAGGTGTATACGTACTACACACTATGCAGATTGCCATATCTTCATCATTGCAGAATCATACACAAAGGAGTTGACGATCCTGAAGCAAGAGCGGTTTTCAGATTTTCCGTGCTCAGGATCGGGTCCCCTGTGCGTACTGGTTAAGTGCCGGATTATGCTGGATGCCTCAAAGAGCCAGTTACCTAGAAGTCATGCCTGGACCTGGAGGTGTGGCTCTGAGGTTTGGGATTCACAAGGGTGCAGCACTGCTAGGCTTCAGCTTTTTTGAATATTTGAATACCAGCAGGGTAGACACCCTAAGCCCTAGTTCCCTGAGGCCCCGAAGTTTGAGTCCTGAACCCTTACCCCGAAAGAAATCTCAGCCTTAGTTAGACCGGAGAACCAGAGAATAGAAGGGGTATCATGAAAAGCATCCGCACACATTCTCCAAGGGTATAATATAAAGGATACCTGACAGCCTTTCACCATTCAAGGCTGCCATACCTTTTTCTTATAAATGTGTAAATTTCAGGCATGGTTTTTCAAGTTGAACCTTCCAACTCCAGAACCCGGGACGGACCCAAACCCTACGCCCCAGATCCTAAACCAAATGCACCGCAGAACCTGCACCTCTACAGTACTATAGGGGCTTAAATAATTGCCTATACTGTGTTGGGGGTTCCTTACTCTAAGTATAGTACCATGGGCCCCAAAACCCTAACTGTTCTAGTTAGTAAGGCCCCCATATTAGCCTAAGGTTTGGACGGAGTATTCGGATGAAAATCCCCTTCTTGATTTCCTTATTCTAATTATTAATGCCCCTATATTGCAGTAGCCGACTGCGACTGAGAGACCCCGAGCCTGCTTGCCCGTACTTTAACCCTCCCGAAGCCCGTGTTTGAGGTCTTGTGAAGCCCAGGTACGTACCCTAAGGCTCCGTAGTAGTTCCGTTTAGGGGTCATCCCAAAAGGAACTACTAGGGAGCCTCTGGGTACAACTTTGACCGATCGCACTCGCTTTTTTTTTTATCCCCAAACCTTCATTCCAAGCAAAGCCTCAAACCTCCTAAAAGCTCAACCTGAAACCCGAAAGCCAACCCTATGCCTATACCCTCAGCCTTGAACCCCAAACCCTAAACCGGATTCGACAAAACCCTCAACCCCAAACCATTCCGTTCCGGTTCAAAGGAGCGTCTCTTCAGCTTCGAAGAGTCTTATCTTGGCAACCCACGCCGGAGCCTTCGCGCTGGTCTTGGGGTTCTTTGGGCTTTAGGGGTTTAGAGTTTGGGGTCACAGGGCTTAGAGCATTGCAGCCCCCTGCTCGAAAAAACACGGGTTTGGGGTCGTGAGGTTCAGGGATTTCAGCCTGAGGTCGCTACGTGCTGAGGACTTCCGGGTTGCTGATATGATTATCTTAGGGTTTAGGGTTACTTGGGCGCGAATGAGTCTGACTCTCGTTTTGCATATATGGAACTATGTGATTCCCACGCCCTGAACACTCGATAGTGGCCGGGGTGGGGTTAGAAGCAGACCCTCACATAAAGCGAGATTAAGGGCTGTCTCCAGTAAACCCTCAAACAACCCCCACAAGCCCCGACCGAATCGCTTTGGAAAATTATGCAAGCTGTGCAAAACCCTTACCCAGGGGCTCAATAACAGTTCCTTTTGGGATGACTTCATAGGATTCTAAATATGAGCCCCAAAAAGGAATAGGGACTAGATCCAACTGTATGTAGTGGTTTACGAAACCTGCGGTCTGGGTATATGGGGTTTGCCTCAATCCCTCATAGAACCCGCACAATATAGAACCCTATGTGTCCACGAAGAAGGGACCCTAAGGCTTGTAAGTCTTAGGGCTTCTGCATGTCCGTTCTCGTCAGAGGTATCTCGGAGTCACCGCCTACCTCGTGTGTGTTGTGCATCCGCATCCGTTCTTCTCTTCTGCAGGGGCTTTAGGGATAGGGCTTAGGGTCTGGCACTTCAGACAGACCTCATTCAAAAACGGGTCTTAACTGTAGCTGAAACGAAGGCCATCGACAAATAGCTAGGCTACGCTTCAGCCCGATGTCAATTGCGATTGAGGTCGCGAAGCTTTCTACCGGCGCATGAGCTGGGTGATCGAGCTGACCCGAGGCTCGACAGCTCTAACCCAGCAGTAGAGTAGGTAACCTTTAACGAGTTTTGGGTAGTATAGTCCCTCTAGAATCCCTATATAACCAAAAAGGGTCAACGTTTTGTTTTGCATGATGCTGACAAGTAGGCTAAATTCAATACACGAAGCTCCCATCGCCGCCGACATCCCTCACTTAAGGACTTCTATTATGGAGGTTACTTTTTTTATGTGCGGTATCATGGGCCCCACAACCCTATTCTAACTATTATTAAGGCCCCTATATCTCCAAGAAAAGTTTTTGAATCGCTGCAGCCCTCTCTTCGTACATTGTCATAAAGGTTTACATGATGCCAAGGACATGGACAAGAGTCTCCTGGTCTGACACCTAGCGACTCCTACGTACTATCTGAAACGGAACCTGTACCCCTTCTGCAACCCTGTAGGCACCGACAATGCTCTACCCTACCAAGCCCCCGTGTCCATGTAGAAAACAGCTATCCTGCAATCGATCCCGAAGGCAAGCTTCTCGCGCAGGAAGGCAGCAAATCGGGCACAAGCACCACATGGTTCCAACAGCTGCAGACTCTGTTAGAAGTAGGACGTCCTGGATTTGGGTACTAATGATCCTAACTATAGCCCCTACCTCCTTCTCATCCCGAAACACTGTAAGAGCCAACTAAAAAGGCCTACAAGACATACATTGCCATGTATACCTTAAGTCTTCAAAGTCCTTTTGCAAAAAAAGTTTGTGGGAGTTAAGCAACCCTAAACCCTGAACAACATAAAGCAGCCATGCGAGAAAAAACACCATACCTATAGACTCCATTGTAGTTCCTTTTTTGGTTTAACCAATTATATTTTAAGGATCCTATAAGGTAACCCGAAAAAGGAACTACAATGGAGACTATAGGTAGACCCTGAAGCCATCATCCCTAATCAGGGCTCCACCGGCGAGTCAAATCTGCAGCCTGCGCGGACACCGGCAAGGCAAACGTGCGCAGACTTAGGGTTTCATGGTTCAAGGTTAGGATTCTACGGCTTAGGGTCTTAAAGTTTGGGCTTTTGGGGTTTTCTGTAAGGCTTAGGCGAGTCGAGGCCGAGTTTGATAATTTTTGCAAGAGATGTCGAAGGTTTTGCAGTAGCTGCAGGGTTGCAGGGTTTACCTATACTTTTCCGGTTAGTACATTTGATGGCCTGGTCACGGTTTAGTGTTCCGTTAGGGTTTTTTCAAGGATTGGTGTTTGGGGAAGAATAGGAGACTTTTCCAAAACCGTGTACCGGGGATCCGTCGAAGCTACATCGTGAAAAGTTAGCGAGCATGAACCGAGGTATGCCCTCACAGAACATAGACTCACATAGACTTCGTCCAGACCTATGAGAACGTAGACTATGATGTCAGTGAAAGGCTTATCGCAGAGACGAGGATTTCGCGTTCAGGCTGCGGTATTTCGGAAGTAATTTGATTTGTGAGCCGAAGTGGTAGGGGCTGGAGCTTGAGATTTCAGGGTTCCGGGGTTTAGAGCAAGTTTAGGGTTCAGTGCAAGTTTAGGGTTCAAGATTATGCTGGAGGGTCACAGACTGCTCCAAAACATCAGCAACTGCGAGCAGGGCGGCTAGATCCACTCTTGTAAAAAAATCACCCGGCCAGAGCCCACGCAAAACTTGTTTGTTGTTCCTGGCTGCCAAATTATTTCTAAGAGTATTCTGCGATCTCTGCAGGCTGTCGAAGGCTTCGAAAAACGAAAATCGAACTGACGGACCCTAAACCCTAAACCCTCAAGTGGGAGTTTCCGAAAATAGGGGACCCAAATATTGTACCCTAAATAAATAGTAGGATCCTTATTATAAGGACCCCCAAATAAGGTACCCTAATTTTCGGAATCTCCCCAGTTTTGCCATGCCCAGAGCATCTCCGAACCAAGCCCTATACACCTGGAAAACGGGTACCATACTGTACCTTAAACTACCAAACCCTACTTGTTGTAGGTTCTTATTATAAACCCTAATATGGGATTTATAGGGACCCTACAAAAAACTACAAAAAAACAGGGTCTAGTAGGTTAAGGTACACTCCTGATTAGCAAGCCCCCTTCCTGTATGTGGAGCCTTTCCTGAAAACCGAATCCCTAACCCAAAGCTTGGCCCCCTGATCTCCTACACCCTAAAGCCTATAGACCTTTAACCGTAAAGCCGGTAGACCCTAAACCCTAAAGCCTATAGACCCGCTGTCCTGGCCTGTGCGCCTCTCGGAGACCTTCGGGCGTCCGCAGAAAAGGAGCTCAAAAAAAAAGGCCTATAGACCCTCAACTCTAAGCCCCCTCTAAAGCTTCCCAGAGACTCCAATATCCCTTAATTAAGGAATATACCCTCCTGGAAGGCCTCTGTCTTCTATGTTCCGAGCTTCTTTGCTTTGCACCTTGGCATCTGCAGTCTCTCAAGACATGTCAATGCTTCTGGGGTTCAGGGTTCAGGGTTAATGCTTTTTTCTGAAGCATATTGTGTATCGCTGACATTCAAAAGGGTTCAGGGTTTAGGGTTTAGGCCCAGATTCAAAACGGTTCAGGGTTTGGGCCTTAGATTCAAGTTCAGCAGGGTTCAGGGTTCTGTTTTTGGATGCCAATGTTAGATGCCTCCAACGCAAGTAGTCGAAAAGATACGGTTTTTCTGCATCCATCCAACCCGTCGTTATTTTGTTAGGTCTACCTTTCATGCATTTGAACATCGGTGAGTCTTTTGATTACCCGTTTTACATCGCAAACAGATTTCAAAAGGAAGAGGAGTAGGGAAACCTGGAAGAGCCTACTACCTGCAACCAGTCACTACTTTGGCCCCAAATTAGCTACCTCGTTGTGGTACACGGAGGTCATAATGCACCTAGAGGTCGGTTTCACAGGGTACACATGCCTTAAGAAATGCAGGCATGATTGAATGCCCCTAGATCGGGACACGGAGGAGGAGCGGACGTTGCACCCCAAACCCAAAACCTTAGGTTTGGGGTTTAGGCAGAGATCCAGGCGGGCATGTGCAAGTCTCTGCAAAACAGGGTGAGTAAGGGAGTCTTTCGACCGCATGTCTTTCGACCCCATGGAGCTGCCCCAGTGCTTCATAACGGTTTTCATTGGGTTGTGTCTGTCGGCTCAAGGGTCAGGGGCTTGCGGCTTAGGGCTACAGGATTCTAGAGCCGCAGCAGCAGCAGTAACAATAGTAGTCGCAATCGTAGTAGCACTGGCATCAGCAGCAGGAGTAATCGTAGTCAGTGGCAGTAGCAGTAGTAGCAGTAGTAGTAGTAGCAGTAGTAGCAGTAGCAGTAGCAGTAGCAGTAGCAGTCGCAGTAGCAGTAGCAGTAGCAGTCGGAGTCGTAGCAGTAGCAGTAGCAGTAGCAGTAGCAGTAGCAGTAGCAGTAGGAGTAGTAGCAGTAGCAGTAGCAGTAGCAGTAGCAGTAGCAGTAACAGTAGCAGTAGTAGCAGTAGGAGTAGTAGCAGAAGGAGTCGTAGTAGTAGTAGTAGTAGTAGTACTAGTAATAATAATAGTAGTAGTAGTAGTAGTAGTAGTAGTAGTAGTCATGGTCGACGTCGTAGTAGTAGTAAGTAGTAAGAGTAGCAGTAGTAGCAGCAGGACTAGTAGTAGTAGCAGTAGCAGTAGCAGTAGCAGTAGCAGTAGAAGTAGAAGTAGAAGTAGAAGTAGAAGTAGAAGTAGAGGTAGAAGTAGAAGTAGTAGAAGTAGTAGTAGTAGTAGTAGTAGTGGTGGAGGTAGTAGTAGTAGTAGTAGTAGTAGTAGTAGTAGTAGTAGTAGTAGTAGTAGTAGTAGTAGTAGTGGTAGTGGTAGTGGTAGTGGTAGTGGTAGTGGTAGTAATAGTGTTAGTCGTCATAGTCGTCGTAGTAGTAGTAGTAGCAGCAGTAGTGGTAGTAGTGGTAGTAGTAGTCGTCGTCGCCGTGGTAGCCGTGGTAGTCGTGGTAGTCGTGGTAGTCGTAGTAGTCGTAGTAGTAGTAGTAGTAGTTGCGAACGGACTGCGATGCCTTGTCAAGTTCTAAGGTGTCACTATAAGAGCTGTGAGCAAGACCGTGTAAAGTGCAAGAGAAGGGGGCACGCTACGCGTCCCTCGACTCTAGGGGGCATGCTACGCATCCCTCGTCTTTACCTTTCTATGTGACCGCCAACGCAACGTTTGGCTCAAGTCAATGCCCATAGCTAAGTGCTATATGTGTCTTCTATCCTGAGCAATCAGAGCTATCCCGTTGCACAGACGAACCGCCGCCGGCAGTGAGTGCAAAAGGAACGGCCGCCGGTTCTGCCTGCATAGGATTGCACGTGTGGAAGTAAGAGGGAGAGACAGGGTCCAGTCTGTGGAGAGTGCTAGCCAGCCACACCTACATTCATTACAGCTCTGGTGGGGAGAGCAGCAACCAAGTCGAGATCAATCCCCCACGCAGGTTATCAGCCGTACGCGGCTCTGCCTTTCTACAGCAACGACTACTTGATCTACTACGACCACAATGAACTCAGGATCAAGTCAAGATACGACAATGACTTTCGGTGCCGATGTGGCAGCGCCAGCCGTTGGTGAGTCAACAGCTGATGACACAGTGGTGCAATCCGTTGATAGCTCCACGGAAGATGACAAAGGTCAATCTTCTGCGCTTGCCATTGCAAAGGCAGTTCCCAAGGGGAAAGCAAAGAGTCTACCAAGAGCATCTACGCCTTCACGTCCGACATCCACAGGTTCGAGGACGGGCAAGGCTTCAGAACGACGGGCCGAAGCGTCTGGTTTTCAGGCACCTCGGACTACGTCCAGGGCTAAGGACAAAGGAGTCAAGACCTTGGAAAAGAAGTCAAGACCGTCATCTTCGAGAAGCTCTTCAGCACGATCTAGGACTTCGGCTACCCGTGGGCGTGGCAAGTCCATGACTTGGAATCGGATGGTTACCAATCAACCACGCGATTCTGACGATCTGGACATGACTCTGGATACGATTCCTGCACGTGGTGATTCATCATCCGTGGCCACGCCCGCAATAGCTGACGGTCCGAATGCCTACCAGGAACTGACGATTTCGCAACAGTTCGAAGCATCGAACCTTGCACAGCAGATGTACTATCGCAGTCAGGTGCAAGAATACGAAGGAATCGTCCAGACCCTGATGGACAAGATCAAGGAGATGCAGCAAGAAGATGAAGGATCTGGAATTCGCATTGAAGAATTGGAACGACAACGTGATCATGCATGCTTAGCCATGAGGCACATCAACAATGTCAATCAGGAGATGAAGCGAGACTATGAAACAGCTTTGTTTCGCATGGATGAGCAGAACTCTGCTCAACAACGTCAAGCACATGCCGTTGCCGAGGAGTTAGCTCAACAGCTACACGTGTTCCGCACGGAGGCAGCCACCAACTTTGTGCAGTTGGAGGCAAGAGCGCAAGGCGATGGTGAGCTTATGGCACGTGAGTATGAGCGTCTGACTCATGAACTTCATGAACACGCCAGAGAGAACTTGGTCCTCCGGTCAAACACAGCAAGTTCGGAACAAGCCTTACAAGCAATGCAGGAACGATTCCACTTGGTCAAGAACCAGGAGTTGCGGGCTGTGAACGAGATCCAAGGGCTAGCTGGAAACAGCGCAGCCATTGAACAAGAACGATTTCGGCTTCGCGAACGTCTTGGTGAAGAGGAAGAGTACCGCAAAATGGCTGTGAAGAGGATGCAAGAAGCAGAGGAACGACTTCATCAGAATGAAGATCATGCAAGGCGATCATTGCCTACCTTGCACGACGAGCTGAGTGAACTCAGGAAAACGCTCAAAGCACAAGAAGATCTTCAAGCGAGGACACGCAGCGAATTGGAGGCAGCACGAAACTCCAATCAAGGAGGAGCGACGCGACCTTCGAGCATGCCCATGTCTTCGAGGACTACTGAGTCTGGCTGGGAGCACGTAGGAAAGGATGTAATGCCTGCATTTTCCGTAGGAGATGAGGTACGATCCCCTGAAATACGGTCCCCAAGTCAAGTTAGTCCAGTCGCCAAAGAGAAGTTCGCATTCTCGGAATCGGACAAGGACAAGAACCTTGTGATGGACGGAATTCCATTCACCGGTGGAAACTTCTTCACTGGCCGCAGTTCAATGCCAATCGTGGCGGATGCAATGCCCGAGCACCACGTGCCAGGTATTAGCAGCCCAGCGCTTGCGCGTTCCACGCCTAGTGCAGCCACTTTGTTTGGCATACCAAGCGGATTTCATGGGAAAAGTGATGCGGCAGCCGTGCGTGATCGACAGCTACGCGAACTCTTGGGGGATCGCGGGATGTTGGGATCGAAGTCCACAGCATCGGCCAGCTCCTCAAGACCTGTTGGCATCGACGGTGTCACCGCATCTACTAAGGGCAACGACCTCATTGGTCCCCCTGTCGCCTATGACGATTCCATCCATGAGGCAAGGAGGCGTCAGATCGAGAAAGAGATCGCGGAACAGTACGAGGAGAAGATTGCTGATCTGCGAAGTGAAGTACTCAAGGCTCAGAAAGCCGAACAACGTCTCAGAGCTGATCGTGATGAGTGGAGATTATTCGCTGAAACGATTCAAGAAAACAATGGAGACGATGACGGTGATGAAGCTGGCGACGAGAACGGAGAGGAAGAGCATGATGAAGGTACCGGCACGGGGTATGATCCTCCAGATCCGCCTGACGACGATGATGACAAGAAGAAAGGTGGAGGGGGCAAACCCGAATCGGATCCTGGTTCGCATGCGCGTGATCCTGATGGGGATGCGGATCCTGAAGTCACAGAGGTGAGAATTTCCAGGAGGGAAGCCGACAAAGTTACTGTTCCTCCATGGCCTACTCTCACTCATCTCAACAACTGGCGGTCTGTGTGCACGGCAAATGTCTTAGGGGCATCAGCCGACCCACATCACGAGGACTGGATGTTATGGCTGGCACCAGCGTTCAACCCATTCCCTGATGTCGAAGCATTGAATGATTCAGGACACAAGAAGTTCAAGAGCATCGACGTCAAATTGGGGATCGCCATGGTCGCAATGCTACGTGCCGGTGGTGACAAATCAGCTGGCCTGTACCTCGAGGTGAACCGGAAGGCCAACGATTACATCAGCAGGCCTGACGTGAAAATCATCAAAGGACGACAAGTCATCGCGATGATGTACGAAAGTTTTCGAACGCATGATCGTCTTGACATGATCATCACTCTTGAGTATTTGGTGAAGCTCCAGTATCAAGGCGACAACAAGCTCCATACGTTCAAGCAGACGTGGTTGGAAGTTCTGGGACGGATGAGACCAGAGGACATTCCATCCAAAACAGCTCTCCGTGATTGCTTGTACAGCAAGATCAAGGACTCGCCCGCAATGAAAATGGACTTGGGCATGCACTATGAACACCTGCCCTACAATCATGAA